TCGCCCCTGGCTATTCTCTCACGCCCACACCCTGGCAGCCCTGTGAGCCATGTATGAGACAGAGGCTCACCCTGCTTCTTGAGGATCAGATTGCTCAAAACTGTTCCTCAAATGGTCAACAGCTTGTTCATGTTAGACAGCATAGCTATTTATTTCCCAACTAAAGCTTAAAGGGATTAAGTGGTTTATCCCAAATCCCATAGTTAGTAGAATCCTAAATCTTGGAAGATTAAAACCAATCCTTGCTAACACTTCAAGCATGTGGGCTGGATGGCTATGTGACAATTCAGGGAAAATAATCTGTACTTTGTGTGCTGTTTGGAGGAATGGTTGTTTGAAATTCATAACAGTATTGATGATTTCACTTAAGTGTGGAATCTAAAACAGTTGATCTTACAGAACTAGAGACTAGAATAGGGATTACCAGAGGCTGGGCAAGGCAGGATGGCAGTACACAGTTCCAATTAGATAGGGCAGCAAGTTCTGGTATTGTAGTGCACACTGGGATAAGAGTGCATTGGATGCATGAAAATAGCTAGAAGAGAGACTTGAGACTGTTTCTCCACAAAGAATGGTAAATGTCTGAGGTGATGAATGTGCTGATTGCTTGACATCATAACATTATAAATATATTGAAACACCACATTGTATAGTTATCATGTACCAAATAAGAATAAAATAAAACATAAAATTATAATATGTACAGAATATAAGAGAGAAGATATTTTTTACTAAATATACCCATCATGAGCCTTTCTACCTTAACATATAATGTGCTCTTTTTGTTTTTGTTTGGTTTGGTTTGGTTTGGTTTTTTTGAGACAAGATCTCACTGTGTAGTTCAGGCTAGCTTTGAACTCTGTGTATCCCAGGCTGACCCTGAACTTGTGGCAATCAATAGAGAGCCCTTTCCAGTCCTCATCTTGGTCTGGGAAGTTTATATTTGCAATCCCATGGCAAAGTTATTGGAATTCCAATAAGTTAATTCCAATCTGCCACTTCCAGTGCAACCCATGATGAGAATAAATACATTAAGATGTATTTATAGTTATGGGGATTCCAGGGATCCTAAATCCAACCAAGATGGTGCTGCCCTGGAATAAAGGCCTCCACCCAGGGCCCAAGCTGGATTTCACTAATTCACAAAGAAGGGAGTGTCTTGAAGATGAGTGACTGTGAGAATGGTGGGAAATACATGAGTAATGTGAGCTGGGTTATGTAGCAGGCCTGAAAGCACCTCTGCAATACGCAGAGAAAAGGATGTGGTGAAAGACCAATCTGCATAACAGTTGAGGTTTTAAAGCCAATGATAGGATAAAGAAATGGCTTAGCCAGCTCTATACATATAGGTATATGGAGAACTGACCAGGTTTAGCCAAAATGGAGATAAGTGCTCTTCATTCAAGGAGAGTCATCTGGGTGGTCCTCCACAGTAATCCTCCTGCCTTAGCCTCCCCCAAACTGGGATTACAGGCTTGCTCACCCAACCAATAATGTGCTTTTAGTTTATTCATCTCTTTTGAGTAGTTGCCCATATTTATGCACATATTTTATCTAAATTAATCTAGGCAAAGACACAGTGGTATTTCCTGCCAGTGATTTCATTTTTATCATACTGGCATTTTTCAGCACTGTTACATTTTTTTCATAATGTACATTATATTGATGAACTAGAGTTTTCTTGGCCTTTAGTTAATTTCTTTTTTTTTTAATCTATACCTTCATGTATATTGAAGTTCAACAAAGCCAAACAGGCAAGGGGGAGGGGTTGCTTGCTTTCCCCGTGCTCCAGGTCCCAGCATGGCACAGGTCCCAGCATGGCGCGGGTCCCAGTAAATGCCGGTGGATCCCATCCTGGGCCGCTGGACCCTGCCATGCTCACATCAGCTCACCAGGCAGTGAGGGGTTGCTTGGTTTCCTAGCGCTCCAGGACCCAGCATGCGTGGGTCCCAGTAAACACTGATGGCTCCCATCCTGGGCCACCGCAACCTGCCACACTCACAGCCCGGTGGGGGGGGGTGTTGCTTCAAGCTGTTTCTTTCTAATGAATTGACCATTTTACTGCCCAAGTTCTGAAATGGCCAACAGACCATAAAAAGACATCTCTTTAGGCTCCTGCTTGAAACCAACAGTGTCAGGAAGCTGCTGGCCTTGATTCAGGGCCAGTTCATTTCTAAGTTTTGTTCTCACCCTTCTCCTACCTCTGCACACCACCCTCCCTGGCCTGTAATTTAACACCATCCCTGGTCATGTTAAGGATAGCCATCTGAAAATGACCGCAGATAAAATGGGACTGATGCCATAACATAATGGTTTAGATTCCTTAAATTAAATTACTTTAGGGGAATGTCTTTCTTCCTTTCAAACATGGAACACCTTCCCTTTTGTACCACTGTTTTTCCAAGCAGTAAGATGTGACTGCTTAGCACCCTTTCTGCTGCTGTTCACGTTAGACAGTCAGCTGCCACTGTGTTCTGGTAACAGAACTGTGCTAACAGGCATCTGACTAGAAAAAGCAGTTTACTCTGGTTGCCTAGACTACATCTCCATGTCTGCTTTGTGTATCAGGTCTGAGCTGACAGCACTTAAAAATAAATCAGCCAGGTAAAGGCAAACATTAACCCTTGCTCCAGAGCTTGTTATTTTTTTTTTTTTAAGTAAATGAACTAGAGCATAAGGAATAGGATGTGCTGAAACTAAATCTCCCAGTGAACTGTGGGTGATACAGGTGTATTTTCTGAACAAGTGGGTGGACAGTATATTGAAGTCCGCTGCATTGTGGAGAATCAAGGTTTCCCCTCAATTTGTCTTCAGCTGGCTGGTAGACGCAAGCTCTCCTGCTGATTCCTTCTGCTCTGTCCTTGTCTTGAGGTCTCTAGTGGGTGTCATCTAATGATTTTATCTTCAGCGCTCAAGAAATTGTCAAGTACCTAAGCATTGTACAAAGGATCCAGGAAATAAAAGAGTTGGGAGCTGGTGTCTGCCTTTAGGGGTTACAATCTAATGGAGAGGAGGAAAGTTTAAAAGGTAACACTTCACATAGTATGAGAGTCCCACGGGGCTGGTGACAGCTTAGAGGAACAAAGCTTCCAGTGAATGGAGAGACAAGAAGAGTTTCATGAACAGCAGAGATTGAGGAAGTCTTTCGAGTTTGGACTCACTCGAACAACATTCAGGAGCAGTGTATTCAGTTAGGAAGGCAGTAATGTATGAGTGCCTGCTTTCTTACACGTTGCATTCTAGTCTCAGGAGAGGCAGACAGTAAACAAAATCATTTTAAGTAGTCCAGTGATGGTGAACCTAGGGCATGTGTGCTACAGCCAACTGTTTATTACTGTGCCACAGTTCACCATCTCTGAAACAGGCAGAGCAGCTAATACATTAGAGGAAAGTTTTCCAGCCCCAAGGAGCAGCAAATGTGGAGACCCTGAGGCAGCAGGAACCAGAGATGAGATTAGAGAGAAGACCCTGTCCTCCTAGGTCTTTGGGCATCTCCTCACTAAGGACCTTTCAGCCCCATACTCACTTTATTTTTCACATTGGCATTTATGACTTTGTATTTTATATTAATTTGTTTCTTTTTGAAACTAGAATACAAACTCCATAAGATTTGGGACTTTGTTTCATTTATTTTTGTATCCCTGAATGCCTAAAACCACATCAGGCACACAGTAAATGCTTAACATCATCACTGAGCAAAAAGAGAAGGAAAGGAGGGATACTGATTTCAGAGGAGAACAAAAGAGAGGAGCAAAGGCCAAGTGATAAGGATGATTGGGCAAAGTCTCTGTGAGGTGATAGAAAGACCAGATGCTCAGGGCAGAAGGTGTCATCTAGGAACAAACCAAAGAGCCCTCCATGGAAGTTGGAGAGACTACTAGCCATCACTGCACCTCATATATCAATCCTTCTTCATTTTGTTAGTTTTCCTTCATTGTTGGGGACTTACAGTGCGTAGAGGGCCACTGGCACAGCGGCAGGAGATTAGGGTGTAGGGGGCTGGCTAGAAAACAGGCCATAATCCGAGCCAGAAAGGATTAACAGAATGTCACCTGTCAGTCATGGCTGGGATTTGTGAGCAGCACAACTTCCTGCAAACCAGACCAGAGAGGGTATAAAAGATGGTGCCCACTGACTTCACCACCCCGTCATCTTCATGTTCTGCTGTCTTTGTATTTCTGCAGTTGGCTGTCTTGCATGTAGGACATTTCACTATTCTTTACCATTTACTTTTCTTCTTTTACTTTAAAATAAAAGTCATATTTACCTGTTCGTTGATTGCTCTGACCAGATCTTTGGGTGGAACGAAAAAAAAAAAAAAACCTGCAACTAATGGATACTGTGCCATTTGGCACAGCACCAGAGATACAAATGAAGAATCAGGTACAGTGTGGTATTTAATTTTGGAAGGAACAGCAGATCATCTTCAAGACTCGAAAGGAGAAAGTTGGGGATGGAGTTCAGTGATAGAGCACTTACCTAGTATTGCAAGAGACCCTGGGTTCCATCCCTAGCACCACACACACACACACACACACACACACACACGAGAGAGAGAGAGAGAGAGAGAGAGAGAGAGAGAGAGAGAGAGAGAGAAGGAGAGAGAGAGACTTGAAAGGCAAAAATCAAATAAAAACATAGAACACTGAATGTGTGTTCCTACCTTTTCTTTGTTGCTTACAGCATTAACCTTGACTTATAATAATTTACTTAAAGATTAGAATTCTGGGAATTATGTTTGAATCACTAATGTAGATTGATGTGTATACATTTATATAACTGGCACAATTAAATAATTATTATAAAGGATTAAGTAGTGATTGATAAATGAGCTTCATGCAAACATACAGAAGCTGACTCATAGGCATTTAATGAAAAGACTATATAAAGATCATAGAAGTCCTCATGCTTATCCCGGGAAGAATGTATTTGCCCATGTATCTGCCTCTGCACTTGGCAAGAAGACAGAGAATCACATTTTCTCATTTCTGTCTCCTCAGGAATAATTCCGGCTAATGGCAAGACGGATGTGACTATAAAGTTCACACCCTTTCAGTATGGCACTGCACAGATCAAAATGCAGTTATGGATTTCACAGTTCAACTCTCAGCCATATGAATGCATCTTCACCGGAACGTGCTATCCCAACCTGGCCTTACCGTATGGCTTCTTTGGAATTTTTTTATTGTTGTTATTTATTCTTAAATTTTTCGGGGCTGGGGATTTAGCTCAGCGGCATAAGCGCCTGCCTTGCAAGCAGGCAGTCGTGAGTTCGATCCCCGGTACCGGTAAAAACGAAAAAGACAAAAAAAAAAAAAAAAAATTTTTCAAAACTCAAATCTTCATTCCATTCTTTGGCTCTTTCTTGTAACAGAATGATATCCAGAACTTGTTTTAAAAGGCTAGCCAATGTGAAATATGCTCTAAAATAAAACACCGGTGCATAGAATGCTCTATGCTGGGAGGAGAGTTTTTTTCTGCCAAGAGGGGAAGAAATGATTGAGGAAAGAGATTTGATCACTGGAGGTGTTGGTCAGTGGTAGGTCACTTACCTACCATGCACAAGGCCCTGGGTTTGATTAAGTGGAGAGCAATTTTAAATTTTTGAGGTTTACTTTCTTGCACTGATTACTGCTGGTGTGCTGTGTGAGTTTTTAACCATATGCATACAGTACTGCCAGTTAAATTATACAAGGCCAGAATTGCTGAACTATTTTTAAAGTTTCCACATGATGTTACAATTAACCAAGTGCCGGCTTTGTGCAGTGTCTGTCGCAAAGTCCGGTAGGAGAAGTTCCCTCCCTGAAGCAGTAAGTCAGGTACAGCAAATAACATTACCGAGGCAGAGAGGAAAATGTGCCCCCCAGGGGTGTCTTGAAAGAGTGAAGATGGGCGATGAGACTGAGTTTTGCTTTAACGCCAGACTTTCTTGTCTTTTTGAGTATGAGCTCTTAATTTTGCATCCCAGTACTTCTGGTTAATATTATATGTTTTTTCCAATAGGCATGGTTTTTGTAAAATAAACATAAAACAAAAGTAGCCATAAATACTAATCTTGGAAGATCCTGATAATTATTTTGAAAATGACAAATATTTTCATTTTCTTCCTCTTCTCTTCACACATGGATGCATAACACATAGAGCATCATCAAGCATATAAAAGTCGAGAAACAGCTTAGCCTTAAAAATGAACTAAAGCCATGGCTTTTGATACGTTTATATCAAGATTTTCTTCCTAAAACTTCAAAATAGCCCAACTCAATCAGCAGTTAATAGCGTGGACCATTAAACTAAAATCTATCAAGTAGCCATTGTAGCCATAAAATCACTCAGGTAATGTCAACAGAATTGATACAAACAAAAACTAGTGCCAGGTTTTCTAGTGTCAGATCACTAAGCAAACCGGATGCCACCTGCTGTCTTGTGTTAACACGTCGGAAAAGTGTGCTTTTCCAAGACATCACTCAAGGGGGGTTGTATTTTTTTCTATCCCCCCATAAGTATTATTTTTTATTTTGCTTCTTATTTATGGATGCTGAGGACAGAAACCAGAGCTTCATGAATACTAAACACATACCCTATGTCTGAGCCACATGCCCATCCCAGACGTGTTCGTAAATACATGAGAGCACTGTATGGCAGAAACACTATTCCAAATGCAGTGTTGCGCTATTTCTAAACTATGAGGCTTTGGTTTCCCAGATAGGGTTTAACATCTTGATGTTTTCCGGAGTGTATCTTAACACTTGCATGTCTCCTCAGGCTCCAAATAGTACTATAACATACAAATTTCACCACTAAGGGAAAATAATTATGCTGGCTGCAGTGTTCTCTGAAATTTTCATACATTGCTTTCTGTTTCACATCCTGAATTTGGTCCTGCCAAATTCCAGGTGTCACTCTTTGGTTTACCATGTTCTTAGACACTTTTATTTCCTTCCTCAGTATTAGCAGTGAAAGGTATTTAGGAGGTTGTTTTTTGGCATTCTCCCCACCACCAAAGCTTTGTTATTCCCTAATGTTCACAGTAGGGGTTGCCACCAGCGCTCTGCTGGAATATGAATGCAGAACTCAGCTCACTCCCTAGCTACACCCTCACCCTGCACACTGTAGCACGTTGCTGCATGCGTGTCTCATCCAGGCGCACTTCCTCCCAGAGATGCTCTTGCAGGGGAGGCTGTTAAATGTAAGATAGTTGGAACACGCCCCATGCCATGTAACCAGGCCTGTTTAGTGGGTGCTTAGCAAGCACACATTGACTGTCGGAATGAACACGTTAGTATTACGTGCTCTTCTTCTGTAATGTTATGAGAGTTCATCCTGGAAAACAAGCACACATACATTGTGTTTAAAAAATGCTCCTCAATATAACACAGTCCTATATCCCCTGCAGGTTACTAACTGCATTGCCTGTACTTGTGTCCAAAGGCAATTTTCAGTTGCAGGAAAAATCCCTCTTACTGGCTTAAGCCTCTTCTTTGAAAGCTCCTGCTACCAAAATGAGCCCAAACATTCTTTTCCAAGAAAGATAAAGCAAAACTTTTACTCAGTATAGCTGTTGAAAGCCAGTAGCCTAGACATAAATTATGCTAGATCAGAAAAGCATTTTTTCAGCATGTCATGTTTTCTATTCATTGTATTCTTTAAGAATGCAATAGAAAACAGTCATCGGGGGTTATTTTGATGTATGTGAGTATACAGTAACGTATCAACATTACATCAGTTTTACTAGACCACTGTTTTAACATACAGATTTATTTCTAGTTTAGATGTAATGATGAACTTTTTTTATAGTTGTGGTATTATCAAAAGGAACATGCAAATAGGAATTTGGAGTTATTGGCTGTTCTATACTAACTTAGTATCTGTTTTAAACTATAGATTAGAAGAATTTCAAAGATTAAATAGTCTTTCTAAGAAAGTCAGTGTTCCTCCAGAAAAAGCAATGAGACATATAAGCTTTCACCAACTACCAGCAAAGAGAGCACCTCCAAAGATGAAGGTAAAGTGGACATAGTCCTTAGTGTGACAAGGAGTACACAGTACAGTACCAGAGAACTGACTCTCCCACTGATTTGGTCTCTCAGGAAATCGAGTACCAGAATCTGAGATTTCCGGTAGACTTATCAAATCCATATGCTGTGGCAACTGTTTTAAACCAAGAACCAGGAAAACTGAGGATTAAAGAATTAAGAGAAGGTAACCAGTTGATCCTCCATAAATCAGTCTCTGGGTAGAATATGAAAGAATTGCTCCTTTTCACCTTTATTATTTATGAGCACTATTTGTGAAAACTTAGATTGCTGCTATGTCTCATCATTAGAAATGTTTTTTTGTCTTGGAAAATGGTTCTGATTTGATTACTGGGGTAATCATTGTTTGCTCCTGCCTTCAGTTTTGGACCAAGGCACAGAGACGTCAAAAACAAGACAGATGAAGGAGGCGCTCTTTGAACAGAAAGTCAGACAAACCGCTTATGAAGAGATGGAAAATCACCTTAAATGGTAAATATTGAGCAATTATGTTATTGAGTAGCAGTATGATTGTTTTTAAGGGATTATCTTTTATGCATGAGAAGTAATGATTTTTTACACCCTTTGGCAAATTCAATCACTGTTTCCCTTAAACTAGTTTTTGTATTTCAGAATGAGTTTCTATTAGGAATAAATTAACATGACCAAGCCATTTTGTGACATGACAGTGGAGAACTGGAGTGAATTTGAAAGAGGCAGAGACCCTGATCCCTGCCAACCACCATAAGTAGAAACACCCCTAACACACTCTCAATGGCTTAGGTACCCCCATTTCACCTCATCACTTCTCATCCCACCATTAGCCCCTGAGCCCTCTGCCCTGTCGCCCAGGGGGGCTCTCTGGAGAGCCCAGCTGATAGGAACAAGGAATCTAGTGGTTAAAACTCAGATGTGAACATTCTTATGCTTCTGTGATTAAAGTGGAATCTTTTCCATATTTTTACAGACTTCATAATACAGCCCATTAACTGGTATTCTCTCCATTCCTTAGTACCTAGCAATCACTTACCCATTTTTACCTGTGGGGTACCTGTTTCCTATACCTGGAATCATATGATTCGTGTTTCTGTGGCTGGTTTCTGTCACCAAATTTTCAGTGTTCATCTACATCATAGCATGTATTAGTACTTCATTTCTTTTTTTATTTTAAAGAGAATAATACCAAGCAAAATAAAACAGAATAAAGCCAATCAAAACAAAACAGTGCAAGCAATACAGGATTTCAAAACAAGATAATAGGAAATCAACAATGGCTACCATAATACCTCTTGTCTTCAAAATAGTTGTCCATTCCATCAGACATAGTAAAATCAAACAAAACAGAACAGAATATAACCAATAAAAACAGAACAATGAACACAATTCACAACTTCAAAACAAGATAATAATAAATCCAAAATACCTACCTTGTTAATGTACCTTGTTATCTTTGAAATAGCTGTCCATGCCATCATATATAATAAAATCAAGCAAGACAAAACAGAATAAAACCAAACAATGAAAATGACATAAGACTTTAAAACAAGGAATTAGCAATGGGTACCACCTTTAGAAGGAGATCCCCATGATGCCATTTTACATATTGTTATCATCTAAATAGATGATCAGACTACCAGCCTGAGGCCTGTAGAGTCAATGAAACACTAAACACTACAAGCATTAAGTTATATTGTACTTTAAAAACTATCATCTCAGCCTGTGTTTCTCTGGATCAACCGGTCACTTGGAGGCAGAGGGGTAGAGAGAGACTAGTACTTCATTTCTATCTATGGCTGAATAATGTTCCCTTGTATGTATATTTCACATTTCAGTTTATTCATGTATCAGTTAATGGACATTTCGTCATTTCCAGTTTTGTGAATAATGCTGCTATAAACAGTTGTTTTTAGGTTTTTGTGTGAATATATTTCAGTCCTCTAAGAACTTCTGTCCATGATCATTTTTTGAGGGGCCCCCAAACTGTTTCCCATGGTTACTGCACCATTTTGCATTCTTATCAGCAACATATGAAGGTTCTAGTTTCTCAGTGCCTGTTGCTTTCCATTATTTTAAAAGTACCATTATTTTGTAGCCTTCCGAATGGATGTGTAATGATATATTATCACATGGCTCTGATTTGCCCTCCCTTAATGACTAATGATGTTAGGCATCCAGATTTTTATTCATAAATATTTTGGCATGTGTTGTAGGTGAGCTTCATTTTACAGGGCTTATTGTTCCCCTTAGTGATGTTTCTAGGGCTTCTACAACTTCCCTCTCCAAAGGTGCTTCCTCTAGTACCTTAACATCCCATTTTTGTTCCAGAATATAGCAAATGCACTCCATCCTGCAGCTGATTATGTTTTCTGATGGGTTCTGGAAGTTAACTTTTTTCTCCCCAGGCAGGTGCACCTTGGGAAAGATCATATGTCTTTCAAATTTAGAAAAGAGCTTATTGAGGAGCAGCAAAGACTCTACACCAACTATAAGGTCAGAATGACTGCTAATTGGTTATTCCTTTTTGTATGCAAGATGCCAAATCAGGAGAAAAAAGAATTTATAGTGACATTGGGAAGGGTGAAGACTGGGGACAAGTTAACTGTAAACCGAAGGTATTATAGGAGATCTATACTGTGTAATGTGGAGGGTTCAGAAACCAGAGAAAAGAGTGAGATCATGGAACAATTTTGAAAATTAGTGAGAGGATAAAGTCAGTCATACGGAGAGAATGGCTCAAATTTAGGCTGTAACTCTGGTTGTGATGTACACCTGTCCCATGTTCTGTAGAGCACAGGGATCAGTGAAGCCTAGAAACATACCTGGGAACCACACCAGTGCCAGTCCCAAGTCAAAGATACCCAAGGGGCTGGGCTGAGAAGGGCAGCTTGGCTGAGGGCAGTAGGGCCACAGCAGGACTGTATCAGTGAGCTCAGGGTCAGGAGATGTGGGACTGCACAATATCTGTGGCCTTGTCATGGACCATGATGTGGAGATGGTTAGTACACCAGGGCAGGTGCAGAGAAGACTGGAGATGAATCCATAGCGGTAGAAGCACAGGGCATATATGAATGAGAATGGAAAGGGTCAGCCAGGACACCACCTGCGAGGGGCTTGGACTTAATGGATAGGACTCATAGAATCATCACAGACTGTATTAGCCTGCTGAGGCTGCAGTAAGAATGTCCCACAAACTGGGTGCTCAAACAACAGAAGGCTGCTTTAGGGTTCAGGTGTCAGCAGAGCGGATTCCTTCTGAGTCCTGTCTGTTGGCTCCAAGGTGGCCATCATCTCCACGCGTCTGAGTCCTAATCTCTTCTTGCATGGACCCCAGTTATATGACCTCATTTTAACCTGACCACCTCTTTAAAGACCCTGCCTCCAAATACAGTTGCATGCCAAGGTCCCAAGGGTTAGAGTATCAATATATGAGTTGTGGGGACACAATTCACCCGCTAATAGATCATGAAGCTTAGCAGTGTGAGTTTAAGAGAGACTAACTTGGTATCATGGCTAGGTGGGATTAGAAAAAAACAAATCTTGTTGGATATCTCATTTTTCTTCTTCTACTTGGAGCACAAACCAGATGTTTGTATAAATTTGTCATATTTTTATTTTTCATAAAACAAACAGAAGACTATAAAATTACTATACTGATAAATCTTCACATTTAGAAAAGACAAGTACTAGATTGTTATTTAAATGTAGCTCTATGTGATTGATTCTTTGCAGGTTATTTTGAAAAAAATATTAAATATTTTCTCCGATATCCACAATGCAATTCTATTTTTAAACACTTTAATAAAAAGAAGGTGATACAGATGTGCCATAACCAGGTCACTGTGAGCATTAAGATTGTGGCTGCCAGTGTGTGCAGGACAGAAGTGGTCAGGTCCTGAGCATCACTTACTGGGAAGCAGAAGAAAGAGCAGGTACCCGGGCAGTCCTGGAGCCTGGAAATCTGAGAACCCAAATGTGCCAGATGCTTATGTCGTGTGTGTTCAAGGGACTTTGTCCAGCAGATGGGCCATGGCAAGTGACCTAGTGCCCGGAACATATGGAGACCTGAAGTATATGGCACAAAACTGAGAAAAAGAGGTCTTAGATGAGGGGTCAGTATCACAGCTGGATGGCACAGACCCTCAAGGACGATGGATGAGTTTACTCAGGGGAGACAGTAAGATAACATTAAATTCTGAAATATTTATCATAAATAAATAGAGTCTCTATGAAAGTATGATAAATACTCCTTTTCTTTACTCTAGTCAACAGTTTTTGGCAACTTTTTTCTTTAAGTTGCTGTTTTTATCTTACTCTTGGACCATTTCCCCCATGAAATCTGAATTGTAAAATTGAGTCTCAGACTCAGCTTCTTGCTCCATATGAATCTGAGCTAGACAGCTTACCGCCCTTCTGACCATAATTCTATCTTATTTCTGAATAGGATGTTAATGTGATCAAAATCAATTCCTTCTAATTAAGTCTTTAAAAATGACTGTAAACAGGATACCCAGGAGCCATGCTAGTTTTCAAAGTCATCCAACAAATTAAGAATAGAATCCACAGATAATCAAAAACTAATACAGTCTGGGGCCAGGGATTTAGCTCAGTGGCTAAGCACCTGCCTGAAAAGCAAGAGGCTGTGAGTTTGATGCTCAGTACAAAAAACAAAACAAAAACTAATCCAATCTGCAGAATACATAATCCCCTTTCTCACAGGGCTGGTAGATGTAGACCCTGGCCCATATCAGCTTGCCCATTTCTGGAGTCACTGATCATTCCTGGGAGAAAGAAACAGCCCAGGGGCCATCATCCCAGCATACCCAGGGTTGATGAGGGAAACTACTTGGGAATTCATTTCAAGGAAGGCTGTGATCGCTCTTTAGCCCAGAAAGACCTATCGACCTCAACTACCAAGACAAAAGAAGGAATCACCACATGCCTTTGTTAAAACCTGATAATTTGGATAATTCTGAGGAGCTTAAAAATTTTCTGGGACATTATGGCTCTTTTCAATGAAATCTATAATGTACGTTCTGCCATAATTATGACTTCATAAAATCCTTCCTGTGAATTTTAAGTGCATTGCAAGTGATTTTCAGAGATATTACCCTCTGATTATATGCATATATACTTTTAAAAAAGTATTGAGTCCTTGCTTCTATAAAAATCCCCCATATCTCAACAGGGGGTAGGAGTATTAAATGACCTCCTGTGTCTTTACCACTTATCCAGGGCTCCAGGAGTAGGTTTGACCAGTAGCTCAATGGGTTCTATCAGTGTTAAAGTGAAAGTTGTATGCTATTTTCCTCAACTTTAATATTTTTGATGATTAAAACCCAGTTAGATAGAGGAGATCCTGTACCGGAAGAGGAATTTCAGCGACTCAAGACAGAAGTTAACCATAAACGGGTTGTTCGCAATCTAGAAGAGGTGAGTGACTCCTTTGTTTATACTCTAATCCTTGGCTGTTCTTTAAATGCTTATTTTTGAAAATGTTAAATGATGTTATAGATATTCCTTTACCAAGAAATACCTGATCATGTTTACTACTTCAGGGTCACAGTTTTTTGTTTTGTTTTTACTATACATTCTCTTCTCAAATAAAGTATCAGAACTTATAATAAACATTTTCCTTGAAACTGGCAGCATCGCATACTTGGGATCCTCCTCTCTGCACCTCTGCTTGCTCTTTCTTGGTCTTCTTTCCTGTTTCTCTTTGGTCTTCATGGCCGCCTGCAGGTCCCCAAGTGAGTCCCTGACCTCTGTCCACCCTCTCCCACCCCTTGGTGGAAGAAATGCAAGGTCCCAAGACAGAAGCCACAGTTCAGCTCCAGCTGTGACAGATGTGGGACTCAGGACAAGCCTCTTAGCCATGATGCCTTAGTGTCCTCAAATATAAAGTGGCAGTAGTATCCATTCTCCTTTTTTTTCATGTGACAGTTTGGGTTAAAACTCCAACTTTTAATAATAGCAATGAAAACAGTTCCTCCTAACCTCCCCATCTCCATCACCTTCACTTTGGGTTTACCATACCTGAATCATTCTTGCCTCTTTTCTTCTCCCTCTCATTGGATTAGGCCACAAAGTCTCACCCGTCATTCTCCAACAAGGCCATCACCAAGTTCCACTTTCATGTCTCACCTTTGACTAGCCCAGCAGGTTTTTGTTCATGTGCCTTTTCCTCCTCCCACTCCTCTACAGCCCACACTGTGCAAATGATACACTGCCCATAACTTCTATCCTGCTGTTTCCCTGCCCAAATACCTGAAGGCCCTGGGGTTCTGATGGGCTCGCTGTACCCTAGCACACATCCACACTCAATGTCCCTTGGCCCTCACACTGGGATGCCCGTGTAAGGGGTGCTGGCACGGGGCACACAGGACCAAACAGAGAAGCCTCCTTTCTAGCTGGGTCTCAGTCTCCTGTCCTTGCCTCTGGAGGCAGTACTGACCCTGCCCTACGGACTGATCTCTTTGTGACCTTATTCTTCTGGGGTCATGGGCATTTGCTGAGCTGCCTAACTGGACTGTAAAGCTCTTAAAACTGAAATTTTCTGCTCTTGGTTCCCAACTTTGAAAACATTCCTCATAATACTATGTACACTAAAAGCGCTTAGTAAATGCTCACTAAATGGCAGAACGGATTAATAATAACTTGATTTGTGATCAAACAATAAAACATAATTATTAAATGCTTATGCCAGGTGTTAAGTTTAAATCTGAAACGTGCCTATGTTTTGTATTCACAGAATGCCATAGATTTGAAACCTAATTTTGACCCACTTGTTAATAATAATTGGCTCAGCAGGTTCAGAGCACAAAGGCAATTTCAACAAGCAGTGTGCAAGGTAAGTTTCAGCAAAGTGAGGGCCTTAGCAGTGATCACCAGAGATTCAGCTGGAGTTTTTATTTAGTCATTCAGCACAAGGAAATCAAACACTGGTTTTTTAAAAAATAACATCTTTATAAAGATACAATTTACCTACTATAAAAATCACCTTTGTAAAGTGCCCAACTGAATAGATCTTAGTATGTCCACAAAGTTTGGCAGCCATCATCACTGTAGTATTAGGACATTTGTATCACCTCCAAAAGGGATCAGGACCCATTACCAGTCAGTCACTCCTCATTCCCTTCTTCCCCAGCCCTTGGCAACCACTAATCCACCTTCTATCCCTATGAACTTGCCTTCAGGAATATTTCATATAAATAGAATCACAAAATGCATGCCTTTGTGACCGGCTTCTTTCATTTAACATATTTTCAAGTTGGTTAATGTTGCAGCATGTATCAATATTTCATTTCTTTTTATGGTTTTGTAATATTCCGTTCTTTGGATAGACTACATTGTCTTTATCTGTTCGTCTATTGACAGAGATCCGAACTGTTTTCAGTTTCACTCAATGATGAGCAGTGCTGCTGTGAACATCCATGTACACGTTAGGGGTCACGTGTCTTTAATTCCGGGGGGGCACTCATGATAACTCTGAAACATGCAGTTTGGGTCAGTTGTTTAAAGAGAGAACAGCTGAGAATTCCAGTGGGCTTTTGTCCCTGACATCAGGCTTACAGCTTCCCTTTCAAAGAGGCCGTGTCTGTGGTGTGGCTTCACTCCCACTCGAGTCACCCATGGACCACATCTCTGAGGCTGCCTGACAAAGTGAAGACTTGGACTCTGTAGCATCAGTGCAGGGTGCAAGGGAGCTCCCTGTCTGGCTGCAGCCACATCTCCCAGCTGCCCACCATCCCTCAGGTCCTCACCCTCACCTTCTTCCTCACCTTACTCCCTAGTAGGAACTTGTGTTTCTACTCTCATTCTTCAACTAAAACGCCTCTCCATCTCTGCTCTGTGGGTCCATTCCTGTCTTGTAGGCCAGCTCAAGTCCACCTTTCCTCCAAGAGACAATCTTTGCAAGAAGAATCTCCTTGGTGCCTTTGGCTTCTAATGCTACCTGTAGATTTCTCATCCCTAAAGTGTGGCTTCCTTAAGGTGCAGGAGCACACCTAAAGCAAGGCAGAACAGTGGTTAAGATTCAGTGTGTTCATCATCTTTTTTGTTGCTGTGACAAGATACCTGAGATAATCAACTAAAAAGGAGAAAAAGTTTGTTTTGGCTTATAGTTTTGGAGGTTTCCGTCCATAGTCAGTTTGCTTTGCTCTTTTGGGCCTGTGGTGAGGAAGAACATCATAGCGAGGACTGTTTGGTGAAACAATCTGCTGGAAAGAAAAGAGAGAGGTGGAAGTGTTGGGGTCCAATATCCCTTTCAAAGACACACCCCCAGTGACCTCACTTCCTCCCACTAGGCACCACCTACTAAGGGTTCTGCCACCTTCCAGTAGCTTTTCAGGCTGGCAACCAAGCTGCTAGAATTTGGGCCTTGCAGGAACATTCCAGACTCAAACTGTGACATCTGGGCTCTGGTGACTGATTGCCTGTGCTTAATTCTTGGTGCTGCTTCTTATGAGCTTTCTAATCTTGAACAAGTGATATAACCTCTGTGCCTTGGTTTCCCCATCTGAACTCTAAAGATAAAGCTTATACCTGTCTTAGACCCTTTATAGGGTTGCGGTGAAGATTAAATAAGTGAGTGCATATAAGGCATTCTAGTGGTGCAGGTTGCAAGTTGTCTTTCTCAGGTTGCAGATGTCAATGCCTTTGTGTCAGTAACCTCCCCAGCAACCTCCAAACCTGTGTAAAGCTAATGTTGCTGAGCTCGCTAGTCATACTATCTGTGCAGAGTAAGGGTAGCCACAAGATACTTGGGAAGGACAGAAAGTGTTTGAAAGAGGTGGCATAAAGCTGTGCTCTGAGGGAGAAGACGTGGCTGTTGACCATGTGCTAACACCAGCAAGAGCCTATACCACTGTTGGGACCACTTTATTCCTTCAGAAAGCCCTCCAACCTGGCGAAAGTGTTACCCAAAATTCTGTGCTTTGTTCTCAGGGATGAATGATGCCCCCGTCTCTCTCATGTGCATGGCAGTCCATCAGTTCTGTGTGCTGGTCTGTCCCTAACCCAATAGTTCCCTGCTGTCTGTCCAGCTACAGCCACAGCCCACCACCTCTTACATGGATCACAGCTATAGGTCCCCCAAACAGCAGCAGAGGACTTGCAAAGTGTAGAAATGACCATACCTTTTCCCAGCTAAGACTTTTCAAAAGCTTGTCACCACAATTAGAATAAAATGTAATTTTTAATCACAACTGCAAGACCACATTGAATTCTTCTCTTCCCTTGAATATTTTTTCCTTTGTTCCTGGATCAGAACCTTTGCTTCTTGCACTCAGAACTCTTTTTCCAAGATCTTCCCATCATCCTTCTGTCCCCTTATCACTGCAGGTTGCTATCAAGTGTCCTCCGAGAGGCCTTCCTTCACCCTCCCTGCATATGCGGGTGGATCCTCCACTTTGGCACCACAGCCGGCCCTAGCGCATTTACCCTCTTTGATTTTCATGTGATATTTGGCATCTTTATTCTAGTAAGGATTCATTGTCTCCCTTTATTACCCACCATATTATGAATATCAGCCCCTGCAGGCAGGATTTATTTTTTGCACCTTGCTGTCTCCCCCTACACACAAACTAGCCATTTAATGTTTTAGATGAAAGAGTTCTTTAGAGAAGAAAAAAGTGTGCTTGTTGTGGAAGGGATGAGCATTCCCACCCCAGCTCTGTATAGCAGGGTTCACCTGCACAGCAAAGCTCTGGGTGCAAATCTCAGTAGTGCAAATCAGCATAATGCTTGGTCCCAGCCCTGTCTCTATAGAATCACCCATCTAGTTTGTCCCCAAGCCCAGAGAACAGCACAGTGGAAGCGTTACTATTTAGATGTATGCAAAACAAAGAAAGTATTCTTTCTACTCTTGCAATAAGAGAGCCTCAGAACTCATATATTGTGTAGGACAATGATTGAAGATACTCTGATTTTTTTTTATCCAGAATGGGCCCACTGACTAGACCATAAAGTCCCTATGGCCATGGTCTTGGGCAACACACCTCTTAAATTCTTACATTCATGGAGCTGGAGATGTAGCTCAGTGGTATAAGCGCCTGCCTGGCAAGCATGAGGTCATAAGTTCAATTCCCAGTACCAAAAAAAAACCAAACTTGCATTCTTTCTTAGAGTGGTGGTTTCAGCTCTTGGTTGTGATTGGCAAAAGTGAGTAAGGTTGAATACAAATGAGCATGTATCAATTAGTAATTTGAAATCATTATTCTCTCCAATTCCAGATCATGCTTCAGCAACGGTTACTAAGAACACTAACAGCGGTCCGTAAAATAGACAGAGAGGGTATACTACAAAAGCAATATCAAGTAAAGCAATCATTAATGCAAGGTAAGGTATAGCTGAGATGTTCAGTGATGCCAAGGCCCAGAATCCTTCGGCCCTTTAGGTTTCTTTATAATGAAGTTGGCTGCGGAGACATGAAATATTTCCAAGTCACATGTGTTAGTTTCCTGTTACTTCTGTAACAAATCATCACAGATTCAGTGGCCTAAAACAACACAGGTTTATTTGTCACAGTTCTAGAGGTCAGAGTCTGAAATCGTGGTGCCAGCAGGCTGCTTCCTTCTGGAGGCCTCAGAGGATGTATTTCCTTTCCTTGTCCAGCTCCTAAAGGCAGGCCACTTGCATCCTTTAGGGCCTTTCCTTGCATCACTCAAGTAGTCTCCCTTCAGTCGTTCTATCACCCTTTCAGGTTTATCCTCTTGTTTCCTTCCTACATAAACCCTATAATTCCATCAAGCCCCCCTAGATAACCCAACTGTGGAAGGGATGAGCATTCCCACCACGGCTCTGCACAGCAAGCATCTCAAGATGCTTAACCCGATCACTCACACCTTCAAAGTCCCTTTTACCATGTAAATTAACATATTAAGAGCTTCTAGGGAATTGGACATGGATATCTCTGGGTACTATTACGCTACCTGTCACAGGACATGAACCAGATGTCCATTCCAGGTTTGGCCAGAACACCTGTCCAGCTAACAGTAAACAAGGTCAGCAGACACCCAGACTGAGTCGTACACATAGTAAAGTTTGGCATGGCTCCAGTCTGGTATGGGACCGTTATTCCTCTTGCTAGTAGAGATACTAGGCCAGTAGTGATTTATATTTTCTGATGGACTGACAGAATCTGATGTTTTCTCCACCTATACCTGGTATACAAAGCTTTTAAATCTCTTACTGTTTTTGCTGTTTAAAGAAATTTCAGTCTCCTAAAGCCCAGGTTGACTGGGGCTGTTGTAGGCCCACTCCCAGTGGAAGCCCAAGAGCCATGTCACCATTTTTTCCCAATATTTGTATTTCCAATCCAGGATTCATATGCAAGGCCACAGGAGGCCCTGCTTCCCCTGGGACCTTCTTTCTTCCCTGGCCAGAGTTCTGATCAGATTCTCCTGTTCTCCCTAAGTGGCAGTTGTATCCCCTACACCCTTTCCTCTACTAGTGTCCAGATGCATATTTTGTTTCCCAAAACATTTCTTAGCATTTCATTTATTCCTTATTTCCTCCTATGTTATTTTTATTTCTAGTTTTGAAGTTTTTTACTGAAAAAAGTGACATTTATTCACAAATCATGTGTGACTATCTATAAAAATTTTGTAATTTAATGTTTTTATTTGCTGAATTCATAACAGCTGTTTTAACTAAAATTTAAGTTTTGGGTGGACCGGAATGTAGAATAGTGGTTCCTAATGATTTAGATTCAATCGGTGCATGATATATGCAAATATAGAAACACCATACTGAGTTTCATTAATATATATAATACTTGTTAAAAGTTTTTGAAGAATTATAGTTTTTGGAAAGAAACTGGATATTCTTTTTTAAAAACTAGATTATAGGTTGAGGCAAAGAACACAGGAAACTAAAAATGGAAATATATGTGTGCTTGTGTATGTATGTTTATAAACAGGACTATTCCTTTTGAAATGGTGTGGGGTAAATGTACAACTAAAACATGATAGTTTCACATTAAGAGCCTCCTGAAAAAACTATTGTGTTGTTCACCCATAGACAAGCATCCCTGCAAGTCCTGGCAGTCAGGAGCCAGTCAGGAGGATTGCTCTTGCCGGTTGTCAGTGTCACCCAAGGAAGTGCTGCCCTTCACCTTCCCATCCTACAACCCTCCCCAGGACTCCAGTGAGCTGGTGGGTGCCATCTTGCTGTGGGAGGGGCTGGCACCATCTCAGGTTGCTGGGCAGACTACTGGAGAAGCCCTGCATTGGTGACTTCTCCTCCCGAGGCTCGAAGGCTTGTGCTGGGTAATTGTAACCCATGAGAACCTAGGGATCATCTACTGGCCCACATGCAGGGAATCTGGTACACTTGTGCAGAGCTTCCTGCCAAATGGGCCTGGTTCCTTCTCAGTCTGGAACAGGGCCTGAGAGCAAACAGGCAGAGAGTAAGCAAGGGATCCCCCACAACCCAGACAGGTAGAATCTGCTCCCCTGAGCCCTCTGCTGCCTCCCAAAAGGGAGGGCAAAGAAGGGTCTAGGTCAAGCTAGTAAGGAAGAGATGTGGTTCCAGAATCTGACAGGCTAACCTATCCATCATGGTCAGTTAGGGTCAGACTCTGTCTCTCTGTCTCTGTCTCTCTGTCTCTCTGTCTCTCTGTCTCTCCTCTCTCTTGTTATGAACACAGTTTTCATTACAACAAAAATTATAATTAATAGTTAACAATAGTTCATTAGCCCTTACATTATACATAGGTCTTAAGTAATTCAGATGTATCCACGATCCCTTTAATTTTTGGCAAAGCTTTATGGTAGGTTTATCATTTTAGATATGAGAAGACTGGAGCTCAAAGTCATAAAACGTCTCATAAAATGTTGCCCATTTGCAAAGCTTGTACTAAAAAGTGTGCTTAAAGTTACAAGTTCATATGCAAAATAACCTTTGGATTTCAAAGAATAGGTTTACCATTCATATCTCAAAATATTTACGAAGCATTGTTGGTTTATCTACTCAAGAAATAGAGAACTGAATTTTGAACTTCCATATGTTTTCTGCTTTTGATAATTAAAATACTTAAAAGATGAATGTATTTGGTTCCTTGGAAATAATGAATCTGATCTTCATGCAGTAATAAATATCTGACACCCAATGATGAAATGAGATCATCACTGTGCCCCAGAGCCCACCTCATTGGTGAATAGCTAAAAACTTACACGGTTTCTTTTGGTTTTTAGATAATCCAATTCAGGTTTCTTTGCTGTTCTGGGGTTGATTAAAAATAGAATGCTGAGCATTTCTATAACATGCTCAGCTATAAAAAGTTTATTAATTTATTCCATAAATACTGCATTCCCCCATTCCAAGATGCACTTTGTTTTACATTCAGTATCTTTGAAATTAGGAAATTTCCTTACAAATAATGGCTATTTACATAGTATACTATTAATTGAATGGTGATGTCCAAAACTTAGTGAAATATGGTATTTATTGAATTCCCATGGGTGTCAGAAGCAGATGAGCACACAAGAAGAGCTCTAAGGACAGCTTCATGGAAATCCAGCACAGGGAAGAGGACTGAAAAAAGAAACAGGACTGCAATCTGTCTTGGCAAAGCTTCTTCAGCTAAGCCTTAGAGAAGCTCTAAGGTTGGCACAATGTGAGAGGACCTAGCTTCGGTACCTCAGCTTTACTCTTGCTGGAAGCTGCTGGTGAGGAAGAGCATCTGGCCTTGGGCAAGGCATCTCCTGGGAAGGGCTGACCCTCGGCAGTTGTTTCCATTACAGGATTCCAAACAGTTGGAAGGCTGAGTGTTTCAAGCCTGAAAGGAGCTCTGGGTGATACATCATAGCCTGTGATAGTACATGGTAAAAAAGATTCCCACATGATCATGGAGTCAGCCCCAGTGACTCTGTGTCCCACAGATCCAGCAGCAACTATGGTCATGAGAAGGGCTGCTCTGAGAGTAGAACTGTTCACTTGATGTTTCAAAATGCAATATAAATGTAGCTGCCTTTGCTCAGAGTTGATTATCCATTTTTTCTAATACTCACATTTTAGGCTCCTGATGGTCTTGGACTGGTCCCAATTAAGCCTTTGGATGTTCAAATTAAGCAGAGTTATTCCTTCTTCAATTTGCAGGTCAGACTTGTCATATAGCATTAATCGTTTGGGCACCTTTTCACATGAGTTTAAGTTTCACTGGCAACTTGTTATGATACTGATTGGCATTTGGTGTGTTTCTGTCATTGTATATGGCATGTTGGAGGTATCCCAGATTCTTTTTCCCTAATGTGGCTATGGAAACCAGGATCTTTCCTCTGTGGAGTTACCATATAGTATGCATACATGAAGTACCTTGACCCTACCTATTAGAAAATTCAAGACAAAGTCCAAGATGAAGTGACCATAAAGTGGTCAGCCTTTCTTCAGGTACACAGTCACTTCTGTTCTTGGAAATAAGAGTATTATGGTGTATTAGCACAAATAAACTATGTGGCATGAGAAAGCAGTTATAAACACTGACGTGTGCTGAAACTCAGAGCTCAGGACTGTCTTTAATGTCGGTCCAGGACTATCAAATCCAACAATCCAAACAAACAAACACTCTGATGGCCACAGCTGTGGTTAAGCAAAGTAGAACTCACTAAATAGTCATGAGTTTTTCAAGATATTCAGTTAGTTGTCTTCTTTTACCTCTAGGTTCCTCAGCTATACAAAATTAAGAGATACCAGCCATTCTCTGTGCATAAGTCTTCAACAAGTTATAAATCTCAAAAGCTCGCACGGCCTCTGAAGCAAGGAGCTGAGGTAACACATCCCTACCTTCAAGGATAGTTCCCACCTTTCTTGTTCTGGCATCAAGATTTTTTTTTATTTAAAGAGAGAAGAAGAAAAAAAAAGAAAGGACATAAAAAAACAATGCAGTAAAAGGGTACAAATAATACAGTATTTCTAGAAAAAAAATATATACAGTACGAAATCACCAGTTAACAGGCTACACATTATCTTCCCAGAAACAGTTGTCCATATCACTAAATTAAAGCATATAAAGTGAACATTCATATAGTGGAATTGGAGACAGTTCCGTTCAATGATCCAACAAAAGCTCAGTTATATGGTTTTCTGTCCTACACTCTCGAACATTCCTGCAGTTATATCCCTTAGTCCACCTTCCTTTCCTCTCTTTTTTACAGTAACAATTAGACTTTTAGGGTTATATTACTCTCACGGTTCTTATTACTTTTTTGAAGAGAATGAAAACAAATGTGACTAAGCAAAACAGAGTCAGAACAGAAGGGTGGGCATAGCACGTGATGCAAAAATAGAATAGCAGGTGATCAAAAGTGGTTACCATTGTGCCTCTTGCTATTTTCAAATTGAGTTGTCTATATCATCAGGTATAATAGAATTGATCAAAACAATACAGAACAAAACCAATAAAATCTACACTGAGGACCTTACAGGACTTAAAAAAGAAAAAAAAAAAGGATGATAGTCAATCCATATTAGGCATCATAGTATATCTTATTGCCTTCAAAGTGATTGTCTGGCATCAAGATTTACAGGCTCTTCTTGGTCCTCTACAGGATGAAGTCACCACCATCATAGCACTACCAAAACTGGATTCAACATCTCCACACTCTGGCAAGTCCTCAATCTTGAGTATGAAACCACCTGAGAGCTTAGCCAAGTCCGTAGACTACTACCCACTTTATGTCTTTGTAAGTATCAGTGGACAGAAGTCTTGTATTCAGTGTTCCCTTATTTCAGCAGTTTCCTGTGACAACGATAGTGTATCTTTTAGAGCCTCCAGTGATAGCAAATAGTCCGCTGCGGCACATGTGCCATAGTTTGCCACCACTACAGGAAACCAAAACATTAGCTGGAAATATTTCTGTTTGTATTGTCAAGTGTTAAACTATTTCTCACTCTCAAAATTGCTTGCCATTATTTAATTGCTTGGAAAATACTAGTGTTTCTGTCTCTTAACAATTTCAGCATTTATATTTAGCAAAACACTATGGATTCTAAAAAGGTAAGTTAATATTATGAAAAAATTTCTGCTGGTAAATTCAACAACTTAAAGTTAAATGGGAAAATTTAGAAAAAGTCAAAAACTATGAAATCTTATTCAATAGGAGTTAAATAGCTCAAATAGATCAGAATCTATTAAAGAAATTGAATTCATGGTCAAAACCATTACCACAAAGAAAACTCCAGGACCAGATACCTAATTACTAATAACCTTCTGGATTTCAGTGACGTACACTGTGATTTAGTCTTTTTTTATTTCTAATTACATTGATATGGATCTTTTCCTTCTGGCTATTTGTCTATTTTGCTTATTCTTTCACAGAACCAACTCTTTGATTCATAAATTCTTTGTATTTTTTAAGTCTCTATCTCATTAATTTCCTCTGTGAACTATACAGTTTCCTTCCCTGTACTAATTTGGATTTGATCTTGTTTTTCTAGGAACTTGAGGTGTTTCATTAGTTTACTTAGCTGAGTTTATTCTTTTTTCTAATGTGAGTATTCATAACAATAAATATCTCTCTAGAACTGCTTTCATTGTGTCCTATAGGTTCTGGTATGTCATATTATTTGATTCCAGGAGCTTTTTTATTTCTTCTGTGACTCATTGATTATTTAAGAGTGCTTTATTTAATCTCCAGGTGTTTTCCTGATTTCTTTTGCCTTTGATTTCTAGTTTCAATATACTGTGATCTGATAATATACATGAGATAAATTCTTTTGCATTTATTTAAGCAAGTTTTATGAGCTTTTGTACGCTCTATCTTGCTGCTAAGAAGAATGTGTATTTTGTTGTTGTGGGACATAGCACTCTGTAGATACCCACTGAGTCCATTTGTTCAAAGGTATGATTCAACTCATTGTTGATTTTTTTGTTTTGTCTAGTTGTTCTATTTGTGAAAGTAAGATGCTGAGATCTCCCACTATGATTGTATTGATGATTATCTGATCTTTGATGTCCAGTAGAGTTTGTTTTTATGAAGTTGGGTGTTCCAGTATTTGATATATATTTACAATTGTTACCTCTTTCTGTTGAACTATATTCCCTTAACTAATATGTAATGACCTTTGCCTTTTCTGGTCAATTTTGGCTTGAAATCTATTTTGTCTAAAACTATGATAGCTACTCTTGCTAGTTTTCTGGCTCTCGGTGCATGGAATAATATTTTCCATCCTCTGAGTTTTAGTCTATGAATTTCTTTTTGGGTTAGATGTACGTCTTATATGCAATGTAATGTCAGGTTTTGTTTTTGATCTGGTCTCCTGATTTGTGTCTTTTGACTGGGGAGTTAAGGCCATTTATATTGAGAGTTATTACTAAAAGATACCGATTTATTCCTACCATTGCATTATTTTTGATTTGTTGATTTCTTTATTTATCCTTTTATCTAATTGCTCATCCATTTTATTGTCCTTTTTGGCACTGTTGGCTTCATTTTCTCTAAGACATCCTGTAGAATTTTTTGGAGTGTTGACTTGGTGATCATGGAATGCCTTTATTTCTCCATGAGTTTTGAAAGATAATTTTCTAGGATATATTAGTTTGGTTGGAAGTTGTTTTATTTTATAACTTGAAGCATTTCACTCCTGGCCTTTAAGGTTTGATTTGAGAAGTCTGCTGTAATTCTAATGGATTTACAAGTGATTTGTTGCTTCTCTATAACAGATTTTAAAATTCTGTCTTTATGTTGAACTTCTGGGATTTTAACTATAGTGTGTTATAGAGAAATTCTTCTCTGGTTTTATGTATGTAGTGTTCTATACGATTCACTTACCTGTGTATTGAATTCTTTCCCTTCTTTATCCATACTTGGAAGTTTTCTACTGTGGTTCCATAAATAGATAGTTTTGTTCCTTGAATGTTATCCTCTGACTTTTCTCCAGCTATGGTTAGTTTTTTTTTATGACATCTAGTAGCAATTGGATCAGTTTTCCTTGCTGTCTTGTTTTTACCATATCTCAGAGTATGTGGCCTCATGCATCAGATCTATCTTAAAGATCTGATACTCTCTGCTCACACTGGTCATTTTTGCTGCTTATGCTTTCAATAGAGTTCTTTATCTCCAGGATTTCTGTTTGGCACTTTTGATGGACTCTAATTCTCTGGTGAATTTGTCATTCATGTTTTGGATCAGTTAGTTAGCTCTTCTCATTTGTTTGACCCTTCATGAAACTCATGGATCAGTTGGTTTCTTAAGTCCACCGCTTGTTCGGTTATATAATTTTTGAGCTTATAGGGTTTCTTTGTTTCTTCTTTGCTTATTTCAAGCAATTCAGCCATATGGCTACTGTTTTTCTCCTCATCAGTCAGTGCCCCTTGTATGTGCTTGGGGGAGTTGAATGTTCCAGAAGTATTTTGTTCTTACGCCCTCACGGTTTGCTTAAATCCTGTGAGCAAACAGATCTGCTGATCCTGCTGTATTTACAGGCCAGACTCCTGGTTGCAGGTAGTGCTCTAGGATTGGCTAACTGCAGGCTTTTGATTTTGCCCCAAGATCTACCTTGGTTAATTTGGGGCGAGCAGATGTGGTACAACTTGCCCAGCCTTGGGTTCTTTGTTGACTTCTGCTAGGGACCTCTAATGCCTGCTCCTTTCACTACATGCCAAATACTGCAATCACCTCTTTGTCTTCCCTTCACAGACCTTTAGTAGAAAGCCCTCTGAGCCAAGCACCACTTTCTATCCCTCCACTCATGGTCTGTTTCACTTACTCTTGCAAGAGCTTCACTCTCATGAACTTGGTGCAGTCCTGGGCTTCTGGCATGTGTGGGCAGTGCACTCTGCGTCCCATTAGTGCAGTACTAGGGAGGAATGGGTTATTAATTATCTCTGGGTCAGTAAAACCTTCTCCCTTCTCAAGGTCCCCCCATTCCCAGGCCTTGCTTGCTCACTGTTGTTTTCAAATTTCCAAGTGCTGCCAGTGTTGTGTCATACACTTGCTTTCTGGCTTTCCATTTCCACAAAGCCCTGGCTTTTGTATATCTTATTCACAGTGCTCTCCATCCTGGTAAGGAAATTAGAGTGTGAGTCACTTCCATCAGGTAGGCCTCTGCTGAAGTGCCAGCTCCCTCCCTGGGGGAGATGCTGTGATCCAGAGTGGTTTGGCTTCTCCTTATATTGGATTTTGTAAGACTTATTTAAGAGCAATCATGGAAGCTTTATATGTTCCCAAAGCTGGGATGGGAGGGTCATCAACAGGTTAATGGATAAACAAATTATAGTCTAAATACACACCAAAACATCCTCAATAATAAACAGAAGAAAATATGGATGATTCTCAAAATAATTAGTGCAGAGTAAGAGAAATCAAAAAAAGTACATTTATATTGCTCCATTTATACAAATATCCAGATTAACCTATAGAGGCAGAGAGCAGGTCACTCTCTACCTGAAAATGGGCTCAGTGGCCAGGAATGGAGGGATAGGAAGCAGGAATGGGATAGGAAGGATGATAAAATATCTGAGATGACCTTAGTGGATGATGGACATGTTTATTACAGTGTTTGTATGGCAGTAATACTTTGCAAGGGTAACTTGTGTCAAAACATATCAAGTTGTATACTTCAAATATGTGTACTTTGCTGTACAGCAATTCTATATCAATCCAACAGTGAATGAAATTATTAATATACCCTAAGAAAAGAGACAGAAAGGGAAAGAAATACTGGTGATGACCACTAAAGCATTATAGTGAAGCCCTGGGGTAACATCTGTGCAGGAGACCTACAAGAAGAAAAACAAAGGGCCCTGGGAGAAAGGTGTCTAGGAAAGTGGGACTCTACAGACCACAGTGCAGCTGAGAGAGTGGATACACTCAAGGTTCCTAGAAAGGCACAACATTCAATTGAAAGATGAAGCAGTGATAGCCAGGTGCAGTGATACATGCCTGGGATCTTAGCTATTCCAGTGCCTGAGAGGCAGAAGGATTGCAAGTTCAAGGGCAGCCTGGGCAACTCTGCAGGATCCCATCTCAAAATAAAAACATTTTAAAAAGCCTAAAGATGTAACCCAGTAGTAGAGCATTTGGCTAGCATGCACTAAGCCCTAAATTCAGTCCCCAGTGGAAGGAAGAAAGGAAGGAAGGAAGGAAGGAAGGAAGGAAGGAAGGAAGGAAGGAAGGAAAAAAAAGAAAGAAAGAAAGAGGAGGGAAGGGGAAAAGATGGGAGGAGAGGGAAGTATAAACTCTAGGAGGGAAAAAGATCAGTAAATGTCCTCAGGTTTTCCAAATGGAATACAAAATTAAAAACTAAAATTTGATATACTTTCAAGAATTCATGGAAACTTTAAAAATAAAATCCATTTAGCCTTGATACTAGTACTCTTATCCAACAGCCACAAGACTGAGTTTAGTTTAAGTCTGGTACGTGCCAAGCTGGGAAGAAACATGTACAAGCCTAGACACGGCAAGTACTTTGCTTCCAGGCTATACTCTCAGCATGATGCTGAACCTTCACACACACACAAAGTATAATCCAAGCCTCTACTTAGCCTTGCAGAGAAACATATTTACACATTTACAGCAAAATACATGCTATTCATTAGTTTTCACCTTTTAGGGACAATGTATGAACAAAGCATGAAAGTTTGGGCTGTGGTTCTGGAATGCGAATGTTAATAGTATAAAGGTAAAATTGTGGAAGAGAAAAGAAAAGGTATAAGAAAGCATGGGAATGATGTTTCCTTTCCCCCAAAGAGGAGCTGAACTGGTCATTTTGAAATGATTAGTTGGATGTGAGGACACGTACATGTAGTCTCAGCTACTTTGAAGACTGAGGCAACAGAATCACCAGACCCCAAAAATTCAAGACTAGCCAGAGCAACATAAAGAAACTGTCTCAAAATCATAATGAGACAAGAAATTGGGGTATAAGTGCATCATTTCAAGTAAAAGGTAAGTTACTAAGAAGGACAATGTAATTTTCAAAATTGAAAGGAAGGGGTTCATTGCTTCATGTAATTGGACCAAACCCTTCCATAGTGATGATTCAGTAGCTACCCTGTAAAACTGATAACCAAGAAGTGCAGAATAAGCATAATGTTTAGAATTAGTGTTGTGACCATCAGAACTACAAAGTCTAAAAGTAAAGGAAAGACACAGCTTCTGGGATGTAGGTCTGGGACAGGCAGCACCCACGGAGCTCGTGGCTGTTCACGACAAATCTTCACAGCCTGTAAGACACTACCATGGATATGCATTACTTCAAGGGAAATGAAAACCGCAATTATTCTGGAATGACTGCTCATCTGTCTGGAAGTAATGGCCACGGAGGGAAATCTGAAGCATGACAGCTGTTGGACACGGTGTTATCAGCTTTCACAAAACACTGCTTTCATTACACATGGCTCAGGGAAGATCAAGAGATTTGGCCACATACTACCTGTCATGCCCTCAGTCAGCAGGAGGAGGAGATATTCTTGAGGGCACATAGGTCATTTCTTCTTCCCTAGTATTACGCATCTTTGCCCCATTCTTCCCCCAGTAGAGTGTAGCCAGCCCCGTTCCCATCACATCACTTCTTCTTCTATGCACCCCAACTCTTGCCTCAATTGCAGGGACTCACTGAGGTGTGGGCTTGTTTCTGCATCACCATGGTCTTAGCAGACACCCTCTGTAGGCTCTCTGCACACCTTTCCTTTACACTGTGCCTTCAGCAAAACTTCTGCATCTGCCTTGAGCAGTGCCTTTGCATCTTAAGGCTCTCGTCCTTGCCAAAGCTGCAACTCAGCCTCTCTGGACCCACAGCCCACAATCCCTCCAGCAGCCTTGACTCGCCTGAACTCTACATCTTGGACACTCTAGTTGTACATGGGGGAGGGGCTGGATGCCTCCCAGTCTAGCGACACGTCCCTTAAATGGAAGTCAGGGTCTTTGTTTCTTGGCAGTAAGATCAGGTCTCCATCAAGCAAGTAGAATTGTGTGGGTTTTTTTTAATTGTCAGAAAAATCAAAGAAAATGAACAAAGTCTTAACCTGATGGTTTTTAAACATTTGAGATTAAAACTGTGGGAAAGCTATGCTGTTTGGGATAAAAAAAATAGGGTATTTGTTGCACAAGCTTTGGAAAGAAAATTAAAAGGCTCTAGATTTTAGTATTATGATACAATTGTTTTATGACTCCATTAGTTCCGATAGAGAATTAGTTTAAAAAAAGAAGAAAAGAAAAAAATCTCACTTAAAAACAGATATGACATCCTAGTGGAGCCTTTCTGAATTAAAACCATTACCTAAACAATGTTAAATGTTGGCATTTCCGGATATATCAAATGTCACTCTTTTCTGTCTTCCCTTTAAGCAGTTTCTAAGAGGCTATTTTTCTTCTCATAACCAGAAGCTCATTTGCTTTTGAAAGCTAGTTGCTTATTTAATAATTTCTCCTAATCCATCATAATTACAAATACTTTAAGATGTGATTTTCAGTTATACTTGTTTCCATGTAAGTTAGTACATTCACATGGCATGCAAAGAAGCTCTTAAACCAGCAAAGCAGCATTTATGAATGACTGTGACCATTTAAAGTGCAGCCAACTTCTGGACATCTCTGCGTCTGGCTTCTCTTTTCTAGATGAGTGTTAGCGCTGGTGGGAGCCACAGAAGATGCTATCTGATGCCCGTTCTTGGGCATAGCTTGAAAACCAGTAAACAGAAAATTCTTTTTCTCCTCCTTTCCGCAGAATCCCAGTCCAGGCTTATTTGCTGTGAAGCACCCTCTGACTTATTCAGAAACGTTGATAGATTACCATCTGTGCACTCACCCCAAGTACAAGTTCACCCATGGGTTGCACCGTGGCTCCAGCATTCCCCTCACCCAGAAGCAGTTTCTCCATCACACGGTAATGCCCTCACCCTGCTCCCTGGCAATGAACCTTGGGCTACAGGGAGAGGCAAGAGACAAAAACAGAGAGCTATGGCTGGGCTTGAAAAACAGAGACTTCTAACCACAGCTGCAAACAGCAGCCCTCCTGCTAGCTGCCCTCCGGGATCCAGGCAGAGACTCACTAGAAGAACGCCTGTCCTATCAGAACCCACCTGTCAGGCTCCGCACTGCCCCTGTTCCAGCGTGCTCACTGTTCCCCTTTACGGGCGACACCTAATGCGCATTCATTCATAGTTCCACCATGCAGAAATGGTCACAGGGTAAGCAGGACCCCGTGGCCTGACCTGTTTTTACCTTAGTCCCAGTAAATGTAGAAATATCAGAGTGGACAAAAGGCTGACATGACACTGAGCAGTAAAAAAACTGGCTCTGAAGAATTGTTTCTCTCCCCAGGTGACCTACCTGACCTGAATATCTAGGAACCCTTGAAGGTCCCCTGTAAGCTCCTTCAACTCAATCAGTCCCCAACCCAGATCATTATCTCTGCCCCACTTCCACCAGTAGTGCCCCAAACTGCTCCCTCTTCCTGTGTCACCCTTTTTGTTTCATGGGTGACATTATACAGAGAATTTGACATTGTGCAGTGACGCTCGAGCCATCCTTCCAGTCCATTCCCGATATCTAACCAGCCTTCCTCTTACACAGCCTGTCAGTCTACCCTTGGTTTCCCCCCATAGCTCACACTGCTCCCATCAGGCCTCCATGGAAATCTTCCTTTCACAAGTCTGATTGTGCTGGTTCCTGCTTAGAAGACTTCAGTGGAGCCCTGCTGCCAACAGCAGTGGCTCCAAGTTCACTCACTTCACCTGTGAGGCCTTGGTCACCTTCCTGCTTCTTCCATCCTGTCACACACCCTGCGCTCAGTTGAGCTCATGGTCTCCTGAGAGCCCTGTCCATCATGTCACCAATGCATGTGCACATCCTGTCCCTTGTGTGACATGCCACTTGATGAGCTCCCAATCCTCCTCAAGCATGACCTTAGCACCTTATTTACAGTCATCAAAACAGATCTCAGGGCCACATCCATCCCCCATCACTGTGACATATTGCTGGTGGGGCTAATGTAGGGGCATCTCTCCTCCTTTGTCTCTCATTCTGTGTTACATTCTGTGTTATATTGTTTAGTGCCCTTGCTGGAACAATTGACTTTTTGCTTCAGAAAAGTTAATCTTAATGATAACTTTTGTAACTAACATTTGTGACTTAAAACCAGTCATCTGAATGAAATAAAGTCCTTCCTAGACTTCACTCCGTCAGACAGTCCCTTTCTGCATCTTTACCCTGTGCCAACTTTCACCACAGGACATTATTCCTGAAATTATGCATTGGAAGAGATTCCAGTCCCTGGCCCTCTCAGCCCTGCCTGACCCTTCCAAGACAGAGCCTTCTCACAGGTAAGCCTTCAACCTTGGACAGAACCCTGAACCAAAATAAATGCCTCTTTTTACAATTTACTCAGTCTGGAGTTTTTTAGCAACTGCAGGTGGAGTAAGGCACCCAATGTTCAGTTACCCCATGTTTACCACCCATGTGCCTGCTGCACCCCAGGTACTTAAGGAGATCAGTTCGTGACCCTAAGACACTTCCTTTGCCTGATTCCTTCATTACTAGCTGGAAGGGCTCCCCATGAATGAAGGCCGATGCCCCTGTCCTTCCCGAGGCTCAGCCATGCACTGTCCCTTCCAAGGTGCTCCCTGTCTCTGCTGCTCCCTTTTGCTTGAGGTGACCTGAGATAAACAGAAAACACCCAGCTGGGACCTGGGACGTGACATGAGTCCAGACGCACTTGTCCATTTCCCATTGTTCTTCATATACCAGTTGCCATCTCAAAATAAACTCAGCATCTCATTCTTTATTATAATCTGTGTATAAAGTCTAACACCTGCAGAGCCAGAGGAAACAATGATACTGTGGAAAAAAGGAAAGCCTGTTTGGTATTAGAGACCTGTTCCTATCTCTGGTAGGCAGTGCCACCGGCCCTCTGTGGTTGGGCGTGTCTCTTCTTACTGATGCCCTTTGAACAGACATTTCCCTATCTGTGAAACAGAGGCGATAATGAGGTCCTCACTGAGCTGCTGCAAGGAGAAAGTAAGTGACCCTGGGAAGCACCTCACACCTTAGCTGCTGCATACTTCGATGACTTCTGCCTTCAGCCTGCTGCCAAACTTGCAGTCACTCTGTTGCCACCAGATGGCACCATCACCACCTCTTGTCCCGAGAGGAGACTTCAGGAGTGACCTGTGCAAACTGTACCATGTAGCTGGATCTGCAGTGCTGTGCAGAACTGAATAGGCACAGTGGGAAGTGGCGGGAAGTGGAGTCTGCCCATTGTCTACCTGCTGTGAGCTTACACAGGTCCCAAGAATTAGGGAAAAAAACATCCTGTTTTTGTTTCCAAAGCAACGTCCTTGGGGGAAAAAAATTTCCCAAGGCTGTTCTTTCAGCAAGCAGTCAGATGCATTTGCCTTGGGCTTGAAATAACCATGAATTAAACATGAGTTCTATGAGAACTAAAGAAAATTCTCCCACCATAGTTTGTTACTGTTTCTGGATTCAAATGCGCTCTTCACCCTGTTTGTTGTAAATAAGCTGCAGTTACATAAGCAGAAATCGAGAGTCTGCCACCTTTTCTTATCACCGATTTCCACTGAATTCTAGGTCAGCTGTTATTTCTAAAAACAGTTACAAAATAATCATGGTGATTTTAAAAAAAAAAAATCTGACCCCCTGGTGCTGGGAATTGAACTCAGGACCTTAGCACTGAGCTATATCCCCAATCATTTTTATTTATTTATTTTTTATTTTGAAACAGGGTCTCACTAAGTCACCTGGATTGGGTTCAGTTTGAAATTCTCCCATCTTGGCCTCCCAGAGAATGGGATTATAGGCCTCTGTCACCACACTAAGATCTTAAATTTGTCTTAATCAGTTCAGGCTACTAAACAAAATGCCATAGCTTGGGTAGGTTATAAACAATAGAAATATATTTCTCACAGTTCTGAAGACGGGAAAGTTCAAGATCAAGGTTCTGGCAGATTTGGTGTCTAGTGAGTACTGACCCATAGGTGATGCCTTCTTGCTGTGTCCTCATAAAGAGGAAGGAGCCTCTCCAAGGTTTGTCTTCTAAGGGCGCTAATCTCATACACGAGGACTCCATCCTCAAGCCCCAATCACCTGTTAAAGGCTCCATTTCAAATATAATCACGTAGGACACAAACATTCAGTCTGTAACATGTTCCTACAAATCCATTAATTTCTTTTTAACTTTGCAACTATTTTGCTTGAATAAATCACTGCCTGTAACTTATGAGGCTCTTTTGTTTTTGTTTTGTTTTGTTTTGTTTTGTTTTGTTTTGTTTTGTTTTGTTGATACTGGGGATCAAACTCATGACCTAGCACTTGCCAGGCAGGCACTTGTGCTGCTAAGTTAAACCCCCAACCCCTAACTTCTGAGGTTTTTTTGTTTTGTTTTGTTCTGTTTTGTTTTTTGTCTTTTTCTTTTTCTATCGGTATCGGGGATCGAACTCACGACTGCCTGTTTGCAAGGCAGGCGCCTATGCTGCTGAGCTAAATCCTCAGCCCACTTCTGAGGTTTTGACCCTGAAATATAGCTACATCCTTTCAAAGCATCAGTATGGCTATTTAGCTTATTTTATTCCAAGTCATGTTTGTATTCATAAGAATCCAAGCAGTTTATTGAGTCCTTTATTTTTCAGTGAATTTCAGGAGAACTTGAATCTTTGTGGTCTTCCATAAAATCTGAGAGCGAGCAGTAACCAAAGAAATTATCTAATCCAGTAGTTCTTACATTTTCAGATACTATAGGTAAATAAAACACTCAAAAGAATTTTGGGAAGTGACTTAAGATATCAAAGTTTTGCTTTGTCAAGGACATTAAGGTAAACTGACACAAAAACATCTTTTAAAGTGAAATCACCATTTTCACTTTAAAAGAACATGTTAACATTAACAACAATAATCAAAAGGATGATGAGAGGACCGTGATCTCAGAACTTAACATTGAACTCATTTTGTTTCATGAAAATCTCCATGTTGTTGCCAGACCAGGGAGTCTCTGAAGATAGGTCCAGCTCCCTTTCTTGACCTCCCTTCTCAATAGAAACATACTCTGACCTTATGTGTTCTACATGTGTTTGAGAGAACGTTCAATTAGAACCCAATTCTTTGTTACGAAGTTGGTAAATAGAGCTCATTTTTGCTTAGTGGAGCCAGAGGCTGTCTTTATGGGGAATAAGATCTGGGTGCTACATCAAAAGAAATCACCAACAGAGTGAAAAGACAACTGCAGAGTGGGAAAAAATTTTAGCCAATTGACCCTCAGACAAAGGGCTTCTATCTAGAGCATATGCAAAGAATTGAAAAAAATCAGACCCCACAAATTCAAAGACCCAGTCCAAAAGTAGGCATCTGAGATAAACAGGCATTTCTCAGATCATTTGAGAGATGAAAATTAAAACAAAACTGAGATTCCATCTCATTCCAGAAAGAATGACTATCATCAAGAAATCAATAATAAGGGGCTGGGGATTTAGCTCAGCAGCATAAGCGCCTGCCTTGCAAGCAGGCAGTCATGAGTTCGATCCCTGGTACCGATAAAAACAACGAAAAAGACAAAAAAAAAAAAAAAAGAAATCAATAATAAATGCTAGAGGGGCTGTGAGCAAAAAAGAATCCTTCTCCACGGTCGATGGGAGTGCAGACTGGTGCAACCACTGTGGAAATTAAATTCCTCAAAACACTAGGATTAGAGGTCCCATTCGACCTAGCTATTCCTCTTTTGGATATCTTCTCAGAAGAATTAAAAACATCATAGCACAGCAATATATATGCACCCGTGTTTATGGCAGCACAATTTGTAATAGCTAAATCTCGGAAACAACCCAAATCAGGGAAACAACCCTGTCAACTGAGGAATGAATCAAAATTATGTGTATTTTTATACAATGGAATACTAAACCCTTAAAGAAGAAGAAACTTGCCCCTTTTACAGGTAAATGAATGCCATACTCCAACGTGAGGCCATACTCCTAAGTGAAATAAATCAGACTCACATGAGTAAACATCATACTGTCTCCCTGGTGTGAGAAACTGAAAGAGGAAATAAGGTCTAAAATATACAATAGATATTTTGAAATGGGAAGAAAAATTTTAAAAGAAAAAAAGCACTAGGGTGGTGGAAAGGGGAAAAGAAGGAAGAAAAATGAAGTTAGCAGTACTATTAGTGTCTCTTTGTTCATTGAAAAGGAAGGTTTGTGCTAATATCCATTGGAGAAACTATTATGCCCAAGTCTTGAGCTCTGAGCAACTACTTTAAGGATAACTACAATGTATTAACTATTGTTATTCTATTATTTTGTTATGAAATTTAGTTTTACTTTTTTTGAAAAATACGTTTTTTTAAATCTGGGTGCACACAATGCTTTTGTATCTTGCCCTCCTGAAGAAACGAAGCAGGAGGGACATGCATACACACTTACACACAAGCAAAGATGCATGTGTACTGTGTACGTACATCTCCATGGAAACAGATGTGCACATACATGTGAAGTCATGGGTTCATACCTAACCCTACAATTTCGCTCTGCACAAACAGTTAGTGCTCGCTTTTCCCCATTCCATATTTGTATCTCCCTTTTCTCCCTGTGACAACCCTGGTTCCCAACATGTTTAGTTATGCAGTTTTATAACACATCTAAAAGAGTTTAAGAATCATCTCATCTGTAAGCACTTTAATAAACAAGCCTCATTAAGTAGCACTCAGTTTTATTCACAGTTATCTCTCTACCTTTTTTCAACCCAAGACCATGAGTATGTAGGTAGGTAAATACCTAAATTAGGTTATTTATTTCCCCTGTTTCTTTTTTCCGCTCTTTTTTTCTCTTGTCTCCTCTACTCCTTTCTCCCCTCTCCTTTTCTTCTTTCTTTCTGTTATGATTGTGGAATTATTTCAGTTTCCTTAAATTTCTCTTACTGATTTAGTTTTACTTTTTTCAATGTGTAGAACATCTGGCTGGGCATGGTGGCCCAGGCCAGTGATTCCAGCACTTAAGAGGCTGAGGCAAGAGGATCACAAGTTGAAGGCCTGGACTAGACAGTCGGATGCTGTATCAAAAAAAAAAAAAAAAAAAAAAGTAGAACATCATCATGATTTCCAAAGTCAGATTACATAAATGTCTCTACTTAGGGAAATGTCCCTCTCTCCCACTGTACTTTGGCCCCATTCCTCCCAGGGAAGGAAACCAGCTTGATCTTCTAACCTAAACGTCCTATGTTCATTTTTTGTAGTACTAAGTAGAGTATACTTACTTTTTCCTTGTTTCTTATATAAAAACTAGCACTCAGTATATGCTATTCTGAATTTACTTTTTTCATTTAGTACAATTGATACAGGGATGATATAGGACCTCCAAATGATATAAGGGAAATATAACTCCCAACCTGCTAGGTATTGAATAAGCTGAGTTCATGTTCCCCAAAATTGAGGAATGAATTCTAGGTACAATGGAGGTTAAGAACAGAAAATATTTATTGAGGGAAAGATAGCTTCTGCCTAAGAGACAGAAAGGAACCTGGAAAGTGAGTTTCCTTGGACTTCACTTATAGGGGAGGCTTTATAGAGCAAAGTCACGGGGTGAGTATAAGGTGGGACAAAACTACGATCCGCCAATAAGATTACAAGTATATTCACTTAGGTGATATTGATCCAGTGGGAAAGCAAGTCACCTAACAAATGTGCCTTGAAAGAACAAGGACCTTTTCTGCAAAGAAAGAGTCAAGAAGGTCTTGGCTCCACACCCAGGTTATTGATACCTATTTAGAAAATCATTATCCTTTATACCTGGAGCAAGAAGTATGTAGACATAGTCACTTCATCTTTGTTTTGAGGCCTGGCCTTCAATGCATGCACCTCCACCCACAGTTGTAATTATTGTAATCCAAATAGTGTCTATTGTAATCCAAATATTGTAATTCTTTTTCCACAATCTGGAAGGTTATATTTGTAATCCCATAGAAACCTTATTGGAATTCCAGCAAGTTAATTCCAATCTACCATCCCAGTGCAACCCACAATGAAAGTAAAGACACTAAGACATATTCAAAGTTACGGTCCTAAGTCTGACTCAAGTGAGGATCTGTGGACAAAGACTCTGATCAAGGCCCCTCCCAGGATTTATTATTTTGTGAAGAAGAGAATGATTCAAGGATGAATGACAGTGAGGATGGTGGGAATTATGTGGACAAGGTGAGCAGAGCTAGCTGGGCAGAGAGTTAGCACCTCTGCGATACGCAGGGAGAAAGATATGCAGAAAGATCAGTCTGCACAACTCCATTGGGATAGCATATGAATGAATTTAGGAGGCTGTTGCTTCAGTTTCTGATAAACTTTTTTACCCTGGATAGTCATAGCCTCTTATTTTGAGACTCATACCCAGTTGACCTTCCTGGAACTGTCTGGCTCTGCCAGCCTGCTGTGTTCAACTGTTTTGTGGGAAACATGATGCAAGGAAACAGGAAATTGTCAGCTGGTCATAAGGATTACATATCAGTATGTCAGCTATCCTTGTTCATATTGCTTAGAGCCAATTGAAGGTAGAAGGAAATGGCCTAGCCAACTCTGAACATACCAGTGTATGGAAATAAGGCTTGATTTAACCTAAAGCTGAAGCAATTGTTCTGCATTCAGGAGAGATGGCCAGGTTGTCTTCTACAATAATGTGTCCTCATCTTGAGCATTGACTCCTTTGAGGGCTTACCCCTGTCTGCCTATAATATTTCTACCTAACTTGGCTGTCTATAAAACTATCTCCTAGAAATTTCTATGGATCAGTTCATAGATACCTTCCCCGTTCTTTTTTCCCTGTGCAACAACCATGGTGCCATTTTTTTCTACCTGTACACTTGAGGAGCAAATACATGTTTGTCCAAGAACAAAACAAGGATCAAAGTCTTATCCAAAGTCCTGTGTACGCACACAAAGAGGCCTTCAGTCAGCCTCTTCTTTCCTGTTTCCACCTCCTCTTCAGCCCACAGCTGGGGGCAGGTCACCTCCCTTTTGTGGGTGACTCTCTGCTCTTTTTTATGGGACAGATCTCTTTCAAGCCTCTAAAAATTTCTTCCACAAAACTATTAAAAACTTGTATCACTGTGTCTTTTCTTCTGTTCCCTTTGCTGTTATATGATCAGTTTTTATGCCCTTGATATTATAAAAAGATTTATAAAGAAAGAATTGAACCCAGAAACAGCAAGTTCTTATTCCACTGTTTTCAAGTGCTATGATTGCCTAGGCCATTGGGATCCCAAACAGAAAATTGAGCAAGATACACAGGAGAAATGAAAGCATACATTTATTAGCAAAGATACCCTCCTCAGGCACCAGGCCAATGAAAAGAGCCCATTCCCCAGGAGAAGCCAGGTGTCAGGGCCTATATGTAGTTTTTATAGGAAGAAAATAGCCCTTTGAACTGGTGCTGTTCACGCAGGGGAAAGTCTCTTCCTTTCTGTTAGGGTAGGCAGTCCTCATACGGACCTTTGAAGAAGTTTCATGGTATCCAAAGCCCAGGCAGCCAGAGGGAGATCAAACCCCCAATGTAAAAGAGATTAATTAATTATAATTGAGTTGAGGTCACACTCTTAGTCGTTTAGCACATGCACACCCAGGCATGGCTTAGTCAGAGGTGGATCCCCAAGAATCCTGTAGTCCATGAGCCCTTTTGTCTTGATCCACTATGGTCCAGCTGTTAGATAGAACTCAGTACTCCTCGGCCTTTCGGAGAGTGAGCTTCCTCTTCAGGAATTTCTCCTCTCTACCTCCTGTTTCTGCCAGCTTTTAAAATAATGTCACATTTTTCTTCTCTCTATCTTGATCCTTTGAATACTTAATTTTCTTAATTAATAATTAATACTCAGAAACTTGTATATAAAACCCTGAAGTTATAATGCCAAACAATCGCTAATGGGGTGGGGAGGAAGGTTTGAAACTGGATAGAGTGACTAAGGAAGAGTATAAAGGTGGGGAAAACATTAAGGATGAAAAGTGAATTACCTGACTAGCCTTTCCCCGACCTGAGGAGATGATGTCATTTTAGATACTTGGACATTACTTTTGTTTTTCAGTGCAGGAGAAGGGCAGGGCCATGGGCCTGCTGGAAAGTGCTCTGCTATAGAGTCCCATCGTAGGCCCTTCTCTGAGTCTGCTTTTACCCTTGGCAACATTCTCCAGGATTCACAAGGAGTCACTTGCACCCTCCACCTTTGCCTTTTCCAGGGACACGAGTGACATTCAGGAGCGAAAAAGGGCAGACAGATAGAGATCTCACCATGATAAAGTGAAAATGCTTTGCAAAATACTGCTTGTGTGACTGTCTTTGGCCACCATGTGATTCTTCCACAGCTGTGACTACAACCAAGTCATGCTTCCTGTAGACACCCCTGTCCTTCTGGACGCTTTGCCTGAAGAAGACCGACTGGAAGCTGTTGAATGGTACGTCTGTTTTTGTTTGTGACTTTGATCTCTGATGTGGTGTGTTTCCTAAAAATTTGTAAGGTGCAGTGAGGGATTTCAGAGGAGCACACAGTGCCTGGGCTTTTACAAATGAGCAGACAAGTCCAAACCCAACTGTACCATTGCCCACAACATTTGATGGAGAACAGATAGTCCCCTGTCTGCTGACCATTGGGTGCTCCAATGGCTCCTACGAGGGAAGCAGAGGTGGTCGTGGGCTTGGGAGCATCCCATGTTCATGTGCAGCCAGTTATTGAAAGATGGGTGAGGTTTGGATAGGCATAAAGAAATGTAAGCCGAAACACAGGGGGCTTTTGTTTCATTTTCAGGGTCATGTTCAACAGCTAGGGAGCTCATATCCTTTGCATCTCCTGTCCCTGTAACCATTTAAACCTGATGACCAGAGACTCAGCACAGCTAGAGTTTATACCACTCAGAAGAGTCCTTCAATTTGCTGGTTCACATATTCACATATCTGAATATGTTAACCTGTTTAAATGCTACCCCAAAAATGTGCTGCCCAGGGAGGAAGAACCCCCACTCTCCAGCTAAACTGCTGCCATGGGAAACCTGAGGCAAGCAACACATGTGCACCTGACCCAGAGGTGCTCCTCCATCATGAGGACGCGTGTCCCTAGCTGGACCGCCTACTGTTGCCCTGTTTGCAGATACCTTACCCTTTAAAAAATATTCTTAGGTCTTAATGATACCACTACATAATTGCAGGGAAAATCTTAGAAGTTTCATATGTTTTAGTAGGCACTTCATGCCAAGCAAAATTAAAATTTGTTTAGGTTTTCTAGTTTAATTAACCAAAATAACAAAGTTTTAGATATGCCCTCCCATATTTGGTTCCTGTTATATAACAAAATACCTGTAGCAGGTAAACTTTATGAAGGAAAGGGAATTATTTAGCTCACAGTTCTGGAAGTTCAAAGGTATGGCACCACCATCGCCTCAGCTGCAGTAAGGATCTCATTTCACGGTGATAGAAGCCAAAGAGAGATACAATGGTCAGGGTCCCCCCTACAAACAACACGCATTCGTTAGAACTAACTTGAGGTCCCCAGAGAGCTATCTGAATCCCTTTCAAAGACAGTAATCTAATGACCTCCCATTGAAGCAGTACATCTCATCCACCACACTGGTGACCAGGCCTCCAATACATGAGCCCTTTGGGGTCAAACCATATACAAACCACAGCAATTAAAACTAGGTTCTGTTAGAATGATTCCGGAGCAGCTGAGATGTTGTGTAGCACAGGGATGACAGGTGTAGGTCAAACTCCTACCTTGCCACTCACTCTCAGTACACCTTGGGCAAGTAGCTTCATGTCTCTGTGCCTGCATGTCCTCATCTTTAAAATGAGGTGACCCAGGAACTATCAGTGGGGTCACTATGAAGAGCAATACGTGTAAAGTGTGTAGTCAGGTGCCTCAGAGATAGTAAGATCCTGATAATTGAGGCTATTATCATTACTGACCTTGGTATCCCAACCCCCAAGCCCAGGATCTGATGCTCAATAGACAAGCAATAACTCACTTTTAAATAAATGTCCTTTCATCCAAGGCTAAGACAATATGAATCACAGAAAACACATTGTTAAATTTCCAGAATAGCAAATTAAGAGAGAGCCACATTCCAAGAGATTTCTTCCATCTAGCATTATACTTAAATAGAAGGTGAAAACAATTTTTTGAGTTTTAAATTTTTAATCTCAAGGGCTTGGATGTGTTGCTATATCTGTGACGGCTTTGGGTACAGCACAAAGAAGAGTGCCAGCCTTACCTAACAAGAGGACAGGCACATGATGGGGGACCCTTGACCCGGAAGTTCCTCCTGTATGCTATATTTTCTGATCTTCTATTACTGAAGATTCACTTTTTAGCTTTGTCCCCATTAAAGCAAAGATATCTCCGGGGTGGAGATACTTTGAGTCTCACTTATAACCCAGTATAATTCTTACAAACCTTTGGGAGTTTAGGCTTGGGAGGGAGAGGGGCAGGAAAGGGATGGTGATGAGGGGACTCTTAGCACAGTGTGGTAGCCAGGAAAACAGAAAGAGGGCAGAAGTAAGAAGCAGAAGACACAAAGGGCCAGCTTAACCACAGGCCCCTGCGTGCTTCTGTTTGACTGAAGCAGAATATCAGCATGAAGAGTCTCGTGTCCAATCACTGTGCAGGTCAGATGCCCAGGCCTATGCCTAGCTGATTGCTGCTGGGTTTGCCTCTGGCCCTGTGCCAATGACAGTTCGACGTGGCTGTGGTTTGAATCTGCATTGTCCCCAGAGGCCCCTGTGGTGAATGCGCATGGCATTTGGTCCTTGGCTTGATACTCCTAGGAGGTGATGGAACCTTTAAGAGGTGTGGCCACGTAGAAAGCAGTTGGGTCACTAGTGGCTTGAAAAGGATTTGGAGGACCCAGCCCCTTCCTGTCTCTCTCTTATGCCCAGCTGGCCATAAGGTGAATAAACCTCCACCACCACATGGTCCTGCCTTGATGTATTGTGCCCCCACAGACCCAAACCTGCAAGGCCAAGCAGCCATGAACTGAGAACTCTAAAATCATGAGTCAAAATAATTTTTTTCTTGTTTTAAATTGATAGCACAGGTATTTTGTCACATTGACAGAAAGTTGACTAACATACATGCTTTGTTGAAATGAGAAGTTTAAATTCTATTTACTCAACAAAAAATAAAATTATATATAATCACAAGTAAAAGTGAATGTGTATGTATATATATATATATATATATATATATATATATACATACATATTCACTCGGATGATATATATATACATACATACATATTCACTCGGATGAAAGGACATTTATTTAAAAGTGGGTTATTGCTTGTCTATTGAGCATCAGCTCCTGGGCTTGGGGATTGGGATACCAAGGTCAGTAATGATAACAGCCCCAATTATCAGGATCTTACTATCTTTGAGGCACCTGACTACACACTTTACACGTATTGCTCTTGAATAAATTCTTGTTCTTCCTGGTCGACCTTGCGCCTGCCAGGGAGGTGCTGTGCCATGGAGTTATATCCCCAACCCCTTCCTGGTCTTTATATGAATCCTTATTCTACAAATAAAGCTCTCATTATTTAACTCCTCTCACTTTCCAAAATATTATGGAAACTTATTTATCAACATATTCTGCTGCTGCTTGGGCATCTACAAAGGTTCACAAGGCTAGACCAGTGACAGAACAATTACACAAGTCAGGCAAGGTGGATGTATCACAGAGAGTAATGGAGAATAAGCAGAAGCTCAGATTCAGCATGAGCTGCAGCCTCAGTTAGAAAGCTGCCCAGGGTGGACGTGGTCACATCTGCACATGCCACAGTCACACATCACCACCGAGCGACCTGCAAGCACTGCACCCTGGCTTTCTACTTCAGAGTGACATGGATCCTTGGTCTCAGGCCCTACAAGACATACTGTCCTGAGAGAAACAAGCACTCTGCCCCCATTTGTTCTAAACCTTTCTTCTTTATCTCAGGATGTTCTTTTTGCCCCAGGAATTGCAAACAATGGTGTGGATTATAAACCAGAATGACAATCTCAGATGCCATAATCCCAAATGTTGAAGTCTCAAAATCCCTAAAGCTGAAAATCCTAAATATTAAACTTTTGGAAGATTAAAACCCCAAATATTGACATCCTGAAAGCTTTAAAGCCACAATTCCTATGAAAAGAAAGGCTATCGAAGAGGGGTAGAAAGCCAGGTTATACGGAACAGCTGGCCAGGCCATATGACAGTGACAGCAACTTCACTTTAAAAACGCGTCATTAGTCTGTGCTGGCGTTCCTTCATCGAATGAAATTTCGGGAAGTTTCTTTTTTCAGTTTTTATTTCTTTATTAGTTTGTGGTACACAACGATTACATTCCTGTGGAGAGTTGGTGCAGGTGCACAACGTATCTGAATGCCTTTTCCATCGCTTCCTCCTCCTCTTCCCCCTTCCATGTCTTGGCTCTCTTCCCTAACTCCGTGTTCAATGGCACATCTTTGATTTTGCTCTTCATTTATATTTTGGGTCTGTCATATAAGGAGAAACCATGAAGTAATTTAAGCTTGTAGGTCTCATTTATTTCACTTAATATTATAGACTCAAAGTGCATTCATTTTCCTACAAATGGTTTGTATTTTTCTATGTTAAAGTAATATTCCATTGTAAGTAAATATCACACTTTCTTTTCTGTTGATGAATATATAGGCCACTTCCAAGATTTAGCTATTATGAATTGTGCTGCTGTCAACATAAGTATGCACATGTTGTTATAATATGATATTTCTCTTTCTGGATAATATCTAGAAGGCAATAGCTGGGTAAAATGGAATTTCTAGTTTTAGTTTTTTGAGACCTCTCCATTCTTATTTCCATAATAGCTGTAGTAGTTTACAGTCCCACCAACATGGAGATGGGTTCCTTTTTACCACAGCCTTATAAGCATTTGTTATTACTTGGTTTCTTGATGACAGCCATTCTTTCTTGAGTCAGATGAAATCTCAGCGTATTTTTAAATTTACATACTCTATGGTCAGTGATGTTGAACATCTTTCCATGTATTTATTGGCCATTTGTACTTCTTCTGAGAAGTATCTACTTATTTTAGTTGCTCATTTTTAATTGGATCTTTTATTTTGTGGAGTATACTTTGGGTTCTTTATCTATTCTAGATATTACCTTGCAGAAATTCTTTTCCTATTCTGTAGGTTGTCTCTTCACTGATAATTGGTTGTTTCTTTTGCTATGCAGAAGCTGTTCAATTTGATACAATCCCATTTGTTCACTCTTGCTATTGCTTGTCCGCTGGGATTCTGTTCCTGAAGTCTTTGTGCTTATGTCTTCCAGAGTTTTACCTATTGTAAAACTTCTAGCAGATTGATTGTTTTAACATTTAGATTTTCCATCCATTTTGATTTACTGCTGCATGCTGTTGTGAGAGATATGGATCTAGATTCAATCTTCTGCATGGCCAAGTTTTCCAGCACCGTTTCTCAAAGAAACTACCTTTCCTCCAGCATCTTTTTGGCTTCTCAGGACTTTTAATCAGTTAAAGTCATTACAGCCTTAAGAAGCTATTAAATTTCTGTATGATTCAAAAATAACTATGTACATGGTAGGATTTGCAGACCACTGAGACAACAGTGTTTGTGTTTATTACTGGTATTGTGTGTGGCCTGTGTATGAATGCAGGTGGGATGGATGTCCACATTTCCAAAACAATATGGAAGCATGGTGTAGAAGATGAAAAAATGTAATAGGACTGCTCGTGTCAGTATATGTTCAGAAGAATTTTGAAAAGTATCTCAGGGGAAATGAATGTGAGTGCATCCTCTGAGGACAGCCATGCTCTGAAAATAAACCAAGGCAGCTAGCTGTTCATCTCCAGGCAAGACTTGAAAGCGTAGCTGATGATTGTGAAAGCCAAACAGCTCTTACAGACTGTGTCTGTGCAACTTGCCCAATACAGCCCTGTAATACATTGTTTCAGATGTCAAGTTCTACTTTTAGTTTTTCTTGGAGGGGTAGGTTGTTTTCTCTTTTCATGTTTTTCCCACTATTTAACATTGTCAGTATTATTTTTTACAAATTGCATTGCTACATATTTTATCTTCACATCATTTCTAGTACTGAGGATATAAATTGTATAAAATGTTTAGAGTTGATTAATTTTATACATTTTTTACAAATTTGACTGAAAGTGTAATAGTTCATGTGAAAGTACATTATTACATTTGATTTTTTGTGCAAGCATTGTGCATGCATATAAAAATATTAAAACTTCCTCAGTAAATTAATAGATGTCTTATTTGTGCAACTGTACTGTGAGGCTGTAGTTATAAAGTTGGATGTACATAATTACCAACCATATTGATATGCATTTATAAATTTCACCTTTTGATCTATTTCATTATAAATCCGATTTGTCTGCTCATACCTCTTATATCCATACAACTTTTACTAGCATAGCTGAGGTCTTGTGCATGCAAGAAGTATTTTATTATAGTCCATCAAAGTAGCTTACAAAGTGTTCTGCCATGTTTTTGTACATTTCACAAATAAATTCCCTTTTTAAATATAAATAAAAGTGTTTAGTGAGTTTTAATTTTTTTTTCAAGAATTTTATTTTCAGTATTTTGAATTTAAGGATTTTAGGCTTTCAGGAACTTTGATATTTGGGGGTTAGAGCCCGATTTCTGCAATCAAGAGAGGGAGGAACTGGGTCAGCTGAGCCCATCTGGGACCTGTCCTTCTGTAGCATTCTTGCCTATCTGTACTCCTTAGCCCTATTATTCATTGTCCTCCTTAATAAACCCAAACTTTCATGTTCTAAATTATACCATTGATTGTGATGGAGCAAAAAGTCCTGGTAGCTCAAACACTGAGAAATAGAATATTCGTGGTTAGATTAAGATCTCTATGATCACAGGAAATGGTTTATTACTTGCCAGACTACAATGTCTTTCCCACAGTATATATTCAAAAATAAGTATTTGTGACATTGTTTCTATTTTTTTTCTTTTATAAACACACTTCAGGGCATTTTTACATGTAAATAGTCAATTAGTGAAATCCTAAATATCTGAGGCATGTATACATCCAGTTCTTCTAAGACCCACCCACATGCATAGAGACTTGGCAGAACGTGGGTCTCTTAAGTTTGGAATCTAGGTCTGAAAAGCAAGGCTGAAAGGCCTCCCACTCAAGCTGCTGCATCAGGGGCTTATCTAAGAGTGCTGCCAGCTTTATAGGATGCCACACATTTGCTTCATCTTCCAGAAGAATGAGTCTTCTCTGGCTCAGACCACTGGGGAGACATGTGACAGACCGAAACAAAGCCAACTCTCCATTCAGCACGGACGTTCATTGTGATGCAGTTTCCTCATCTTTGAAATGGGAATCATGGTCCTCTGTAGAAGGTTGTCAAAATTAAAAGGGATAATGTGATGCTGATGAGGAGAATGGTAATTACAATAATTAACCTTTATCAAGCACTAAGTGTGTATCAGACAGAGCTTGGCAAGCAGTCCCATGTAATTCCCATGATAAGGTCCTGTTGTTAGGCCCAGTTCAGAGTCAAGGAAACTGCTAGTGGAAAGATAATGTCTGCAAAGCACCAGCATAGTGATTCACATACAGCAGCTGCTCTGTAAATGTTGGTTTTCAACCTGATGGGACTGGAAGAACTTTTCACTATTTTCAAGGGCATTTTCCTAACAGAAAACTGCCATGTCCTCTTCTGTTTCTGCATTGTTGATAGATAAAGAGTTCCTAAGTGATTTCAAATTTTCATACTTTTGTTGTCTTCGTTCATGTTGGAAGCATTTCACTTTACCTGAATATGGTGGAGATGACCAGTGTCTAAGGATCCATGGCAGTTTTCTGAAGTCCCAAAGTCATTACAGCTAGAGACTTAATTTCCCGCCTCCCTTGCAGTTAAGTGCTCCCTTTGCCTAGGCAAATGGGAGAGTCTGCTGCTGAGTTCCATCTCTCCTCTCGCTCTTTCTCCTCACTTTTTCCAGCAGAAGGCCAAACAGGCAGTGACTCGCCTTTTTTTTTTTTTAATTTTATTTAAGGAGAAAAAAAAAGCAGAGAAAGGGTACAAGTTATACAGATTTACAGAAAAAAATAAACAGTAGGAAATCACTAGTTAATGGATTACATATTGTCATCTTAGAAATAATTGTTCAAGTCACAAAGTTAAAGCTTGTAAAGTGGACATTCCAACAGTGAGACTGCAAACAGTTCTGTTCAATGATCCAATAAAACTCTGTGATATCATTTTCTATCTTATACACTTAAACATACATGCAGTTATATCATTTAGAGCACTTTCTTTTCCTCTCTTTTGTACAATGACAATTACACATTTTGGGTTTTGTTACTCCCACAGTTCTTATTACTTTTTTGGAAGGGAGTAGAACCAAATGTGACATAACAGAACAGAGTCAATCAAATCAAAAGGGTGGACATAATAAATAATGTAAAAGCATAATACGAGGTGATCAACAATGGTTACCATAATGCCTCCCGCTATCTCTAATAGTATTGCCTATATCATCAATTATAATAAAATTGAACAAAACAGTAAAGAACAAAACCAACAAAACCAAAACATTGGAGACATTGTAGGTCTTCAAAAGTAGATAAAAGTCATCGAGAATGGGCATCATAATGAATCTCACTATCTTCACTGCTGTTGCCTAAACTTTCAAACCTGGTACTATCAAGCAAAGCAGAATAGGGGGACATCAGTCAAAAACAAGATGGTGAGAGTAATACAGGGCTTTAAATCAAGATAATGGAAAGAGTGACTTACCTTTAACTATCAAACAAAGCCCTGGGCCACAGGCCAGCAAACTGTGGCCAAGTCTGGCGTGCCACCTGTGCCTATAAATAAAGTTTTACTGTAACGGAGTCACCCCTGTTCATTTATGTATTTTCTATGAATTCTTCCATGCTATAGTAGAGAAGCTGAGTGACTGTAACAGAGACTGTATAACCCAAAGAGTCTTCATACAAAAAGTTTGCTGATCTTTGCTTTAAGGAAAACTACCAAACGATGAAAGATAACCTAGATCCCTTGAATTTCTTTCCCCCATAGAGTATTTAGAAATATGTTGTTTAGTCCCAAAGCAACTGTGGGCTTTCTAGTTATTCCTTGCTATTGATTTCTATAGCGTTCTATTGTGGTCAGAAATCATATTGTGAATGATTTCAATCATTTGGGATTTTTTTTATGGCCCAAGATATAGTCCATTTTGATAAATGCCTCATACGCACTTGAAAAGAGTATGAAATCTGTGACAACATTTTTAATAGCTGCTTTTCATTCTGTGGTTATAAATAACTACTCCTATCATTGTTTGCTGGCGGAAAGCAATTTATCAACCTTTTGTTTCTCTGAATATAGACTCAACAAAAGTAGAGGAAGCCAAGTTTGAAAGCCACAAGGAACAGCATAACTCCTCAATGATTTCATTGTATTTTTATGTTGGAAGGAAAAACTTCCTACCAAACATCTTATTACTTTTCAGTGAGCTCTGTGAACACAGTACAGAAGTTACATTGACTCCAGAAATGATCCAAGCGGAATTCTTCATCTTGGACCAGAAGGACACCAAGAAGTAAGTAGATGATCTTATGTGTTATTAAGAAGCAGCTTTGGATAAATGTGTCCTGTGTAAAGTTCAAAACTATCATGTGATCTGAATCTCAAATATCGCAGTCTTGAAAGAGTCACATTTCCAATGCTTCATGTACTTAATGGTGTATTCTATTTAATGTATAATTAGGTACTTGTAATGTTGGCAGGGAAATGTTTAAAAACTGGATCCAGTTTTTCCATTTGCTTATCATTTGATTTCAGAGAGGTTTATTTCTTATTAATAGCTAACTAAGCTTCTTGTAATGTAACAAATCCAGGCTGTGGATCAAAGATCAAAGCTGAGGCTAAATTCAGCTCTCCATTTATCATATCTGAGATCTTAGCCAAGTTACATAACTTCTCAGGACCTGCATTTCTTAATCTGTACTGCACAGAAAATAAAATGTCTTTCACAGGGTATTTGTGAGGTTTAAAAGAGACACCAAACATAGAAAGTATTTTTTTCCTTCATCTCTCTATCATGGGGCTAATTAGCTAAGATAACATCATCCTTTCAAAAATTAGTTTGGGAAAGTATTTCTGTGTTGTAAATAACCCCTTAAAGCTCATATGGTTTATAAGCTTAAAATTTTATGTATCCTTTTTTATTCTTGTTTAAAATTGCTTTTTATAAAAAAAATCAGAAAATATATAAGAACAATTATCTTATTAGCTAGAGGCAGTAATTTAAACAAAATTAAATCACATTATACATACAGTTTTGTCTTCTGCACTTTAACAATATATCATAAACAAACATAGATGTGCATTGTGATGTTTTGAGTATGTATACCATAATTTATTTAACCAATTCCTTAATGATGAACATTTAAGCAATTTTCTGTTTTGCCATTTCAGTAGTGTCGCAACAAATATCTTTTTTTTTAATTTAAAGAGAAAAGAGAAAAGATAAAAAAACAAAGCAGTAAAAGGGTACAAGTAATATAGAATTTCAAGGAAAAAAATAAACAGTAAGAAATCACTAGTTAATAGGTTATATATTGTCTTCCTAGAAACAGTTGTCCAAATTATAAAATTAAAGCATATAAAGTGGACATTCATACATTGACATTGTAGACAGTTCCATTCAATGATCCAGCAAAAGTTCAGTAATATGGTTTTCCATCCTACACACTTAAACATACCTGTGGTTATATCCCTTAGTCCACCTTCCTTTCTTCTCTTTTTTATAATAACAATTACACTTTTTGGGTTTTATTACTCCCACAGTTCTTACTACTTTTTTTGAAGAGAATAAAACCAAACGTGACTAAGCAAAACTGAGTCAGTTAGAACAGAAGGATGGACATAGTACATGATGCAAAAATAGAATACCAGGTGATCAAAAGTGGTTACCATTGTGCCTCTTGCTATTTTTAAATTGAGTTGCCTATATCATCAGGTATAATAGAATTGATCAAAACAATACGGAACAAAACCAATAAAATCTACACTGGAGACCTTACAGGACTTCAAAAAAAGGACAATAAACGATAATGGGCATTATAGTATATCTTATTGTCTTCAAAGTGGTTGCCTATACCCTCAAACTTGATACTATCAAACAAAATAGAATATAGAATAATCAGATAGAACAAGATGGGGAGAATGATACTGGGGTTCAAATCAGGTTAATAGGAAAACAAAAAAGTTACTATAATATGTCCCGCTATTTTTTAATTTAGTTTTCCCTTAATTAAAAAAATGAGAGAAAATGGATTAATTTTAAAAAGGGAGGGAGTGAGATAAAAGAGGACATTGTAACAGAACAACGCAGGTCAGAACCGAACAATTCAAGCGTCATTGTGTTTCACCACCAGATAATCTAACATAATAGTAGTCGCCATAGTGCCTCTTTCCTTGAATTATTTGAGTGTAACTTCATATGCTATAGCATCAAGCATATCAAGACAGTGTGAAGCCCTTCAAGAGAATGAAAGAATTACAGGGTATTTAGAACCAGCTAATAGAAAACAAACAATGGTTTCTATATTATCTCTTTGCCTATAAAAAATTTTGTTTATACTGTCGCATGTAGTGAAATATAGTAGCATACGACATGTTAAAGCCAGTGGAAACAGATGTACCACAGCTTGATGGGACTTCAAAACAAGATGATATTAAGTCAGCACTAGCTTTTATGGTATGTTGTTTTCTTCAAAATAGCTATTCGTACTATCACAGATATTAAAATCGAACAACCCAGGTTAAAACCATTGCAGTTAATGAGTGAAAACGTTATATGGCTTCAAACCAATATGATTGGGAATCATGATTACAACATACTTTTATGTATTCTTATCATTTCTTACACTAGGGAAACCAGTATTTATACATGTGAGTTTGATTTATTTCACTTATGAGTATGGTCTCAAGCTGCATTCATTTATTTATAAATGTCTCAATGTGATCATTCTTTATAGCTGAGTAGTACTCCATTGTATAAAAATACCACAACTTTTTTTATCCATTCTTCAGTTGATGGACACTTAGATTGTTTCCAAGATCTGGCTATTACAAATTGTGCTGCTATAAACATGGATGCACATATATCACTGTGGTATGATGCTTTCAGTTCTTCTGGAAATATGCCTAGAAGTGGTATAGCTGGGTCAAATGGGGCTTCCAGTCCCAGTTTTCTGAGAAATCTCCAGACTGACCTCCACAATGGTTGCACTAGTCTACACTCCCAACAACAGTGCAGGAGAGTTCCTTTTTCCCCACAGCCTCTCCAGCATTTGTTGGTGGTGGTTTTCTTGATCTTGGCCATTCTTTCAGGAGTGAGATGAAATCTCAGTGTGGTTTTAATTTGCATTTCTCTAATGACTAATGATGATGAACATTTTTTCATATATTTATTTGCCATTTGTATTTCTTCATCTGAGAATTGTTTATTTATCTCAGATGCCCACTTTTGGATTGGGTCTTTGAATTTTGGGGGTCTGATATTTTTAATTCTTTATATGTTTTAGACAGAAGTCCTTTGTCTGAGGGGCAGTTCACTAAGATTGTTTTCCCAGTTTGTGGGTTTTCTTTTCACTATGCTGGAGATTTCTTTTGATGTGCAGAAACTTTTTAATAAGGTGTGATCCCAGTTATTGACTCTGGGAAGTATTTCCCGTGTGGCTTGAGTCCTATTCATGAATTCTCTAACTACTCCTATGTCTTCAAGGTTTTTAACCAATTTGTCTTCCAATAGATTTAGTGTTTCTGTTTTAATATTAAGATCTTTGATCCATTTAGACTTTATTTTAGTACATGGTGATAGGCATGGAAAACTAAAACTAGTTTTAGTTTTCGGCATATGGAGAGCCAGTTTTTCCAACACCATTTATTAAAGAGACTGTCGAGAGGAGGAGCTGGGCAGATCTGGGGTGCCCTTACTGGCCTCTCTGCGTGTCGGGAGGACTCTGGATATCTGCGCCCAGACTGCTGGAGTTCCCTCAGGCTTCCAGGTGCAGTGAAGGAGAGAGGTGGGTTTGAGGCTTCCACATCAGCCTCCCCATTCCCGGCTTCATTTGGAGACCTGCTGAGCTCCCGATAGGTGGGCTGGCCCACACTACCAGCCTAGCCCAGCCTGTTTAGCTGCCGCGCCTGGCCATAGGTCTGCAGAGGAGGAGCTGGGCAGATCGGGGTGCCCTCACTGGCCTCTCTGCGTGTCTGGAGGACTCTGGATATCTGCGCCCAGACTGCTGGAGTTCCCTCAGGCTTCCAGGTGCAGTGAAGGAGAGAGGTGGGTTTGAGGCTTCCACATCAGCCTCCCCATTCCCGGCTCCATTTGGAGACCTGCTGAGCTCCCCATAGGTGGGCTGGCCCACACTACCAGCCTAGCCCAGCCTGTTTAGCTGCCGCGTCTGGCCATAGGTCTGCAGAGGAGGAGCTGGGCAGATCTGGGGTGCCCTCACTGGCCTCTCTGCGTGTCTGGAGGACTCTGGATATCTGCGTCCAGACTGCTGGAGTTACCTCAGGCTTCCAGGTGCAGTGAAGGAGAGAGGTGGGTTTGAGGCTTCCACATCAGCCTCCCCATTCCCGGCTTCACTTGGAGACCTGCTGAGCTCCCCATAGGTGGGCTGGCCCACACTACCAGCCTAGCCCAGCCTGTTTAGCTGCCACGCCTGGCCATTGGTCTGCAGAGGAGGAGCTGGGCAGATTTGGGGTGCCTGCATCGGCCTCTCCATGTGTCTGGAGGACTGTGGATATCTCTGCAACCAGGGAGGGACCACAGGTTCCTGAAGCACTGCGGCCTGTGGTGAGTACCCTAACCCAGCTGCGATTGAAGAACTGTGGAGCTTCCAAGAGGCAGGTGGGCGCACAGTGTTCCTGAGGCCCAGCTTGTCTGGAACTGCGGAGTTCTGAGCAGGCAGAGGAGGGCCACTGGTTCTGTAGGCCTAATGGCTTGGGGTAGCGCGGCGCCAGAGTCTCAGTAGCTCCAAACATAGAAGGGGATTTTCAACAGATCCTGAGGAAGCTTTCAAATAACACTTGAAACAGAGAAATATAGGAAAATGACAAAACGAAAGACCAAATTACAACCTCAAACCTCCAGCCCATCTCAAGAAACCCTAGGAGCGATGTATATAGAAGAAAATATATCCCATCCACCTCATATATCGGACACAATAGCCACTGAAATTGACAAGCAACTCCAGGAAGCTTTAAAAAAATTCAAACTTGAAATAATCTCCCAGATAAAAGAAGAAATGATAAAAGAAATGAAAGAGATTCTAAATATATCTAAAGAAAACACAGATAAAAAATTGGAGGAACTAAACAAAAAGATAGAATCCCTAGACGAGCAATATAAGAAACAAACAGAATACATAATGCAGATGCACAGAGATATACAGGAAATAAAAAACTCCACTGAAAGTTGTAAAAACCGCCTTAATGAAAGTGAAGATAGAATTTCAGACCTTGAAGACAGGATTGCAGCTAGTGAACAGGAAAGGAAAGATCTTTTGAAAATAACAAGGAACCAGG